TTATACATTAAATTTTTAATATAGAAATCTTGAATAAAGTTATCAATTTTATTTATTTCATGGAAACATTTTATTTATTTATATCTTTAAAAAGTATGCAAGCATTTCATATGAAGGTTGAAAAACATGATTTAACAGTGTATGGATTGTATTAAAATCAATGAATTAATATTCTCTTTCAATCTTGAACATGAGGAATTGCCTCTTAACCTTTTACCCCATGAGCATATTGCGAAAAATGGCCGTTTTCATTGAAAAGCCTCCTGTAACAAATTCAAACTTCTATGAAAAACAAATTTGCAAATGCTAAATTATAACACCAGAATAATAATATTCAAGATATAATACTTCAAAATATGATGGCTATATACAATACAATACAATACAATACAATACAATACAATACAATACAATACAACACAACACAACACAACACAACACAACACAACACAACACAACACAACACAACACAACACAACACAACACAACACAACACAACACAATACATCAATAACAATGTAACAAATTAAACTAATTATGTCTAATTATGTTGTTTGGATACTTAAAAGTTTCCATGCGCCCTGTATATTAAAGGATTGCAGTTAACGAGTATGTAATGTAAACTAGCAGCTCCATTGTCCGAGCACGTTTATGTTTGCTCTTTATTAGAAAAGGTGTTATGATTTTATGATTAATGGCTACCGCTGCGTCTTTTAATTTAATCAAATCATAATCATTGGATTTAAATTAAATACTGTGATAATTTCCAATCAACTATTTTAAATTATGAATTCAATGTTTAAAACTCATTCAAACACCTTTTTTTCATAGACTTCTGAAATACATGCAAATTGTAGTCGTTATAAAATAAGGATTCATAAAAAAATTACAATTATAATCAAGGCCAATAAAGAACATATTCGTGAGGTATTTATCCTCAAATTATTAAGGGGTTTTTCTCATCGTTGAAATGAAATCGTAATAAAATTATCTATCTGATTTGATTTCGGTAATGCAACACATTAATAACAAGGGAAATAATCATGATATTTGATCGTCTATAACATGATAAATTTTTATAATTATATATATTTTGTTCCTTTGTCTGTGGTTCAGTTTGAATTATTTAATATTAATTAATTAATTAGTTAATTAAGATAAATTAGAATGTTTAATTAACTTTCACAAGCCGATTTCGGTATGGTAACATATATATTTCGGGTCGTGACAAATCAGGGAAGTAATTTTGATATTTACAGTACAGTACAGTACAGTAGATATTTGTTTCTTATTTCATAATTACAAATTATTTCGAACTGATTTTTTGCATGAAAGTCAAACTAAACATACTGCAGTATTGTAATAAATTATGACGAAAAAAATATAATAAAACACTTAATTGTGGTTTTATAAGTTGATTTCGGTAATGAAAAGTTGATTTCGGTAACTTTACCGAAATCAAGTTGATTTCGGTACCGTCATCATTCGGATTACTTTGGTACTTTCAGCAGAAATTTTACTTCGAGACATTCATTTTTGCCTGTAGAAATAATTAATAAGGAAAAGGTCATGTCCAAGTTTAGAAAATACTAACAACGTGCACTACAGTAGCAATTGATCAAACCGTGTCTTCCATACCACTTCATGCACTTGCGTCATATAATTACAATGAGCAAGTAGGTATTTTTATTATGCTTAGATAAATGGTAAAGGGTAAACTCGGCCCTATACCAACTCGGCACGGGTCAACTCGGCCCTCTGCCCTCTATCCTAACTTAGGATATACACGGTGTATATCCATATCGGTACCCTCTTTGCAAAATTTGCTCAAACGGTACCGTCTTTGCACATGCACAGGTCATTCTCTGCTAAAAACAAACCAGCGATGGATAACAATCCAGTAACATTTCATTGTAATAAGGAAAGGAGGTATGACACGTAGAAAAGATGTATACCACGGAACACTAGAATATTTTATTTATGTGCTGAGTTGTCATGTGCCCGTTTTTCATGTACTGCAACTTCACAATAAGCTACAAAAAAATTGACATGTCTTGCCTCACCCATCACCTCGACATACTTTTCGGGCTGCAATGAACCTAAGGTTTGATTATAGGAAGTGGCTAGCCGTACGGGCCCGTACGGCTAGCCAAAAGTTCTAGCCGTACGTGAGTCACGTACGACTAGCCAGGACTCACTGTATTGTCTAGCGGTACATACGGCACTTTTCAAAGTTATATGGAAGTCGAACATGCATATGTTATTTCATGCCTCATGATTATGGTTTGTTGTTTTATTTGTATGAAAGGTGAACTTTTGTTAATTAAGCACAATCATGGATCGAATAAATAATGATCGGAGTGGATAAAAAGAACATTGAAAAAAAAACAACAACAAAAAACGGTGAAATGCAAAATAGATTCTAATTGTATAATTTTCAAATACAGTAGATAAATATCGAACATAAAAGCCAATCAATTAATTAGCCTTAATTAAAGCCTACCCAGGGACTGACAATAGAATTTTAAAATGCGTTTCACGAAACATGCAATCTTTCCTTATGTTAACAAACTTCTATACCGTCGGTATTTGACGCAATTGCAGAGCCCAACAACAATAATTTTCGTTTTTTTTTGTTTCATTTTAAAGGTGTCGAAAATTAAACTTGATGAAACAAAAAAGGATTATCAAAATTTGTAAACTATTTCAATTGATGTTATTTAACTGCGACCAAATGCGTATTTTTTCTCAACGTCTTGAGATGACAAAGATCGATATTCGTTCTTTTTTACTGTAGCCAACAAGTAGATTAATCTCTACAAAGTAAACATACGAAGACAATTGCTGTTTCTTGGTTCATAAAATAACATAGGCATTTTCGACTTCCATATAATTTTGAAAATGCCGAACGGCTAGCCAACACAGTGTGTCCTGGCTAGTCGTACGTGACTCACGTACGGCTAGAACTTTTGGCTAGCCGTACGGGCCCGTACGGCTAGCCACTTCCTAGATTATATATGCATCATACACATTTAATATGTTCATTTACATATCATCTTCGGACAAATGGCAGTATATTGTCAAAAATAAATGTAAAATTTATAAAAACATCCTACCTTCGGTTTTGCAGCGCCACGGGCTACCTCTCTTCATTTGAATTTTTATATCACAGGTACCCTCTCATTTTTTAACACATGGGTACCCTCAAGACACGACATACGCTTTTATTTGCGTTAATCGTTAAGTATGTAATATTTACATAAAAGTAAGAAATATTACACACCTAACGATTAACGCAAATAAAAGCATATGTTGTGCCTTGAGGGTGTTAAAAAATGAGAGGGTATTCAGTAGATAAAGTCGACACATAAGTTTTAAGTAAAAAATGACTGGAAAATCAGCATCTTTATTTAATTTTACCCATAAAATATGGTGCTATATCAGTCAAATATATTTCATATTTTTTAAAAACAAATATGAAATATAAATATGAAAGTGGGCGGAGTCAAAACTCATATTTATTTTAAGGGACTTCTTCCGCTGTTTTGTTTGAAAAATCTGATAAATACGAAACAACTTTTTCTTGAATATTGTTTTGAAAACTATCTAGCATGATAGAAAATGGTCTAACTAAGAAAATTAATCCGAACACCAATATCTTTAATTCAGTAATTAACGCTCTACAGACGTTTAAAGAGTTGTTTACATGACGTCACAATGTAGCGCCAAACAGCGCGTGCTTGCGCATAAATTACTGCGCGCTGTACAATTGCAGTTGGTAGCAAGCAAGGGGATTCGTTACCATTTTCTTTGATAATGAAATTAAATAAAAAGGTTATTTTTTCGTTTTTTTGTGAAATATGGAATATATTTTCACGAAACATGATAAAATGCCACATATTTTCATGAAAAAAAAAAAATGTTTCGTGAAAATATATTCCATATTTCACGCAAACGAAAAATTATCCTCTTAATATTTTTTTTTTTACATCTTACATGTTTTACCTATTTTTTATTAATATTTAAACAATTTTTCAAAAATCTTTCTCAAGTCAGTGGCCTGTGATCAATACAATTCTAACTATCTTATTGTAATTATAGTAAAAAGAATGCTTTGAAGCAGTTTTTGCCTACCAAAAGTTTAGGTTATTTGAAAAACATTAAAAAGTTTACCAAATTATAAAAAATCATTACATCCTGTCCTGCTCCTATACTTCTAGGTGACCATGTGCTTGTTTGTTGAAAAACAAAGTTATAAAAATTATAATTATCAAGTGTCAGTGTTATCTATGCGTCGAAGTTATCTCTCCGACCTGTATACCTTATAATTATAGTAAATGGGTGCTGGATAATAATTTCGTTCTTGTTGATCAAGGGAAAATTATTTTATGATAATTAGGACAAATGTGCCATTTACTAAGGTCATGTTGACAAATTTTAAGTAGGTTAAAACAGACATGATTCCATAACTACAATTAAGATCTTGACTAGCACTTGACTAGTCAACATATTAAACAAGAATTACAATTAATTAAAATTATTGATTGAAAAATGATCTGACAAGGCTATGCACATGAATGACAAAATCCAGTTTAAATACTGTAGTAGTGCAGAAAATGCTATTTCTCGCAAAAAAAACCCAACAAAACTTAAATCTAAATAAAGCAGATTCTCAGGTGTTTTACAAAGAAAACAAAGCTTCCATGAATTTTATAAAATTGGGTTTGTCCTGAGGTATCTTTGTTGATAAAGACTTGTTTAGGAAAACACATAATTTTTGTGGAAATGTACAATGTTGCATTTCCTTAAGACCTATAAATTATTTTAGAATAATGCAGTTGAAAACAAAAACATGTTTGGTACATCCAATTTGATCTCATTACTGACTTCTGTAACAATTTCTTAGCAATAGATCTCAGGTGAATGATCTAAGGCCATAAATTATAATGGCCATCTTATTATTCAGATAAGCAAAACATTCAGTTTTGTTATGATTTCAGATTAGCTAAACGCACTAGAGCATCAGCAAAAGAGTCATATGACACACTGATAAAGAAGGCAAAAATGGCATCAGCAAAACCTCATCCTTTGGAAGAGCTGCAAGCCATATCACAACAAATAGGTCATGATCTTGACACTGTGGAGTTTGCACGGCATATGGACTCTATAGACCCGTTGAGGTATCTAAGACAAGAATTTTGCTATCCAAAGATGAAAACTCTAGGTTCAGGTGTGTTTACTTTTGATAGTTCAACACATGGTTAAAGGCACAAATTATGCCTCAGAAATCAAATGAATAAATTTATACTTCTCCAGATTAGGCTAACATGAGTTTTATAACATTTAATTACAGTTTTAGAGCATGTAAGGTGCTTTTCACCTGAAGAAAGTAGCACTGGATGTAAAGTTATTAGAAATAAAAGAAGCAAAATGTAAACAAAGTTCCATACAAAATCTAAATCACTATAATGTACTCACTAATTGCCAAAAAGGTAATTTAGGTAACTGGCTTTTGAGTAAAATCTTTTAAACTATAACATGACATGTTAAATGAAAAGCTTTTGTGACATAAAAGAAAAAGCATTTCTGGGTTGAAATGGGTCTTAAAAGTTAGTTATAATGTGCTACAGTAATAACTTGCACTGTTTTATTGTTCTTTTATATACACTGTCTTATTGTTCTTTAACACGCAGTGTCCTATTATTTATTTAAATGTACTGTCTTATTGTTCTTTTATATGCAGTGTCTTATTATTCTTTTATATGCAATATCTTATTGTTTATTTATATGCAGTGTCTTATTATTCTTTTATATGCAGTGTCTTATTGTTCTTTTATATGCAGTGTCTTATTATTCTTTTATATGCAGTGTCTTATTATTCTTTTATATGCAGTACCTTATTGTTCGTTTATATGCAGTGTCTTATTGTTCTTTTAATTGCAGTGTCTTATTATTCTTTTATATGAAGTGTTTTATTGTTCTTTTATATATGCAGTATCTTATTGTTCTTTTATATGCAGTATCTTATTGTTCTTTTATGTGCAGTGTCTTATTGTCCTTTTATGTGCAGTGTCTTATCATTCTTTTAAATGCAGTGCCTTTTTGTACTTTTATATGCAGTGTTTTATTGTTCTTTTATATGCAGTGTCTTATTATTCTTTTATATGCAGTGTCTTATTATTCTTTTATATACAGTGTCTTATTGTTCTTTTATATGCAGTGTTTTACAGTTTTATTGTTCTTTTTTATGCAGTGTCTTATTATTCTTTTATATGCAGTGTCTTATTATTCTTTTATCTGCAGTGTCTTATTGTTCTTTTATATGCAGTGTTTTATTGGTCTTTTACATGCAGTGTTTTATTGTTCTTTTATATGCAGTGTCTTATTTTTCTTTTATATGCAGTGTCTTATTTTTCTTTTATATGCAGTGTCTTATAATTCTTTTATATGCAGTGTCTTTTATTATTCTTTTATATGCAGTGTCTTATTTTTCTTTTATATGCAGTGTCTTATTATTCTTTTATATGCAGTGTCTTATTATTCTTTTATATGCAGTGTCTTATTATTCTTTTATCTGCAGTGTCTTATTGTTCTTTTATATGCAGTGTTTTATTGGTCTTTTACATGCAGTGTCTTATTGTTCTTTTATATGCAGTGTCTTACTATTTTGTTGTATGCAGTATCTAATTATTCTTTTATAAGCAGTGTCTTATTGGGTTTTTTATGCTGTGTTTCATTCTTCTTTTACACGCAGACTGTCTTGTTATTCTTTTAAACATGTATGCAGTGTCTTATTGTTTCATTATTCTTAGTGTCTTATTGTTCCATTGTTCATCGTTGTTTGTTATTTTCAACTTTTATTGACAACCTCCAGTATGTGTTTCTCTATTTATTACAGTGGATCAAACTTTGGTAGACCCTGATGAAGATTGTGTGTATTTCTGTGGTAACTCACTGGGTATATGTCCAAAGAAGACGAGAGAATACTTGAACATTGAAGTAGATAAATGGGAGAAAACGTGAGTGAATGCCTTGGACTTTTCTTTGAATCTGGAATTGGAAAAAACCTTTGTACAAGGGATTCTGATTTTGTGACCTAAAATTGAGCAGTATTGAGTATAAATTGTAACTTTATTTGCAGATAAATATATTACTCAGGATAAGATCTTGTATGTTGAACTTCTTAAAGGGACTCCACTAAGGTGTTTTGACATGATTGGACTGGAAATATATTCCCAAGGTTTATGTACAGTGTAAGCTGGACCAATAACTTGTATGGAAATTTTCAATTTATTTTCTCATCCCAGAATAATCAAATAAAATAACCATAAAAGTCAAGTGTTGTAAAGAATTTTACTCAAAAAGGGCTAAGAATTGCACAGAAAATTGATATTCTGTTTAATTCTTACTATATATTCCTAATTAACCTCCTGTCAGCAGTTTTCATGTTCGGTCTGTATCTTTTGAACTGGGGAAAGGAAATTGAAACTAATTGACAGAAATGTTAACCATAATGAAACGATGTGCATAACACAGGTTTGACCTTCCTCGGGTTAAGTTCAAGGTCACACTTCGGATTTTTTATCAGTTTTAAAATTTCTTGTCCACTTTGTATTTTTATGCCCCCACAGGGTGGGAGCATATAGCGTTGCACTTGTCCGTCCGAGTGTCCGTCCGTCACGCCGTACGTCCGTCCGTCCGTCCGTACGTCCCGAAATCTTGTGAACGTAACTCCTCTTAAACCGGATGGCAGATTTTGCTTAAACTTCCAGGGATGAACAACCTTAATGTGTAGATGGTAGTAAAGGAAGGAATTTTTGCTGCGACCAAATTTAACAGAATTATGGCCCTTTGTTTTTTTTTCACTATATACTATGTAGAAATCTTGTGAACGCAACTCATCTTAAACCGGATGGCAGATTTTGCTTAAACTTCCAGGGATGAACAACCTTAATGTGTAGATGGTAGTAAAGGGAGGAATTTTTGCTGCGACCAAATTTAACAGAATTATGGCCCTTTGTTGATTTTTTCACTATATACTATGTAGAAATTTTGTGAACGCAACTCTTCTTAAACCGGATGGCAGATTTTGCTTAAACTTCCAGGGATGAACAACCTTAATGTGTAGATGGTAGTAAAGGAAGGAATTTTTGCTGCGACCAAATTTAACAGAATTATGGCCCTTTGTTGATTTTTTCACTATATACTATGTAGAAATTTTGTGAACGCAACTCATCTTAAACAGGATGGCAGATTTTGCTTAAACTTCCAGGGATGAACAACCTTAATGTGTAGATGGTAGTAAAGGAAGGAATTTTTGCTGCGACCAAATTTAACAGAATTATGGCCCTTTGTTGATTTTTCACTATATACTATGTAGACGATTTGTCGCGCGCAACATTTGGGTCCTACCTTAAAGGTCAAGGATCAGCAGATTTTGCATCAAACTTCCGGGATCCATAACTTAATGTGTAGATTAGTTAAAGGAAGGAATTTTTGCTGCGACCAAATTTCACAGAAATTATGGCACCATATTGTTGATTTTTACGTGCTCGCGCGCAAAAATTTCGGGTTGCATATAGTCGTTGAAGGTTGTCACAGCCGTGACCGTCCGCATCGTCCCAAATCGTGTCCGGTCCATAACTTAGTTATTTGAAGTCGGATTTTAAAACTATTTCACAGAAATGATCACCATATTGAGACGACGTGTCGCGCGCAACATTTGGGTCGCTACCTTGAAGGTCAAGGTCACAGCATGACCTTGCATCAAAATCGTGTCCGGTCCATAACTTTAGTTATTTGAAGTCGGATTTTAAAACTATTTCACAGAAATGATCACCATATTGAGACGACGTGTCACGCGCAACATTTGGGTCGCTACCTTGAAGGTCAAGGTCACAGCATGACCTTGCATCAAAATCGTGTCCGGTCCATAACTTCTTTATTTGAAGTCGGATTTTAAAACTATTTCTCACAGAAATGATCACCATATTGAGACGACGTGTCGCGCGCAACATTTGGGTCACTACCTTAAAGGTCAAGGTCACAGCATGACCTTGCATCAAAATCGTGTCCGGTCCATAACTTCTTTATTTGAAGTCGGATTTTAAAACTATTTCACAGAAATAATCACCATATTGAGACGACGTGTCCCGCGCAACATTTGGGTCGCTACCTTGAAGGTCAAGGTCACAGCATGACCTTGCAGCAAAATCCTGTCCAGCCCATAACTTCGTTATTTGAAGTCAGATTTTAAAACTATTTCACAGGGATGATCACCATATTAAGACTTCGTGTCGCGCCCAACATTTGGGTCGCTACTTTGAAGGTCAAGGTCACAGCATGACCTTGCAGCAAAATCCTGTCCAGCCCATAACTTCCTTATTTGAAGTCAAATTTTAAAACTATTTCACAGAAATGATCACCATATTAAGACAACGTGTCACGCCCAACATTTGGGTCGCTACTTTGAAGGTCAAGGTCACAGCATGACCTTGCATCAAAATCTTGTCCGGCCCATAACTTCGTTACTTGAATTTAGATTTTAAAAATATTTTACAGAAATGATCACAATATTGAGATGACGTGTCGCGCGCAACATTTGGGTCGCTATCTTGTAGGTCAAGGTCACAGCATGACCTTGCAGCAAAATTGCGTTCGGCCAGTAACTTCGTTCCTTGAAGTCGGATTTAACAACTATTTCACAGGGATGATCACCATATTGAATCGACGTGTAACATGCAACATTTGGGTCGCTACCTTGAAGGTCAAGGTCACAGCATGACCTTGCAGCAAAATCATGTCTAGCCCATAACTTCCTTATTTGAAGTCTGATTTTACAACTATTTCACAGAAATGATCACCATATTGAGAAAATGTGTTGTGCACAACATTTGGGTTGTTTTTACACTTTGAACTTTGCCTGTGACATAACTCTGACACTACAAGAGGTATACCTTCCTGTGTCCAAAACCTATTCGGGGAGCATCACCCGGTTCAACCGGCTCTTGTTTCACTATATACTATGTAGAAATTTTGTGAACGCAACTCCTCTTAAACAGGATGGCAGATTTTGCTTAAACTTCCAGGGATGAACAACCTTAATGTGTAGATGGCAGTAAAGGAAGGAATTTTTGCTGCAACCAAATTTAACAGAATTATGGCCCTTTGTTGATTTTGATTTTTCAATTTGTGGCACATGTAGTCCAAAAAATATTTGACCTAGAGTCATAAGATTGACAGAACAGTGGCGTGTGGGGGCATCCGTGTCCTATGGACACATTTCTAGTTTTAACTAAATCTTATAGGCAGAAATAATGTGCAGAACACAGGTTTGGGGTTCCTGGGATCAAAATTGACCTTGCCCCAGGGATTACTTGATTTATATAGACTTATATAGGAAAACACACCTACTGTAAGTTTAATTGTGTGAGAGCTTAGATATTTAGCATGTTGCATTTCCTTATTGATCATTACAAAACTGGTATGAATCATGCCCCTTGGTTTGATACTGGCCAGCCCTAGCCGTCACTTGATTCATATAGACTTATATAGGAAAAACATGTCTGAGACTTTTTGTGTGAAACTATGATGCCCAGAGCTTAGATATTTTGCATGTAACATTACTTTGGTTGGCCACAATATAACTGGCATTAATCATGCCCCTTGGGTCAATATTGGCGCTACCCCTGGGGCCACTTGATATAGTTGATATAGTCTTGTATGAGAAAACACATTTCAGTCTTATTTTGTGAAACTATGCCAAGAGCTAAAATATTTAGCTTGTATCATAATACTAGCATTACCTTTTGCTATAGTTGGCTATTACTTTGTTATTTATGAATGGATTGCCAGGACAATGTTAAATGAGATCAAACACAATTTGTCCTTGACTCATAAAGCTTGAATTACCTTGTTTATTTCACAGTAACTGTTTCTGATTTTTTTTTGCTATCATTGGCCACAACTTTATAAGTACTGAATTGATTGTCTTCAAAGTTGGGCACAACAATCATTTTGGCAAGACATTATTAAAAGTTGATTTGATTGAACTTTACCTTAATGTTAATTTTAGTTAATTTTGCTACAATTGGTCATAACTTTACAATTTATTTTTGATTTATAGATCTACTTGGACTATAACTAATTAACATGTTTAATTATTTAAATATGACCTTGACCTATGAATGATCTTGACATTGAATTTAGTTTAGATTACCATAACTTTGTTTTTTGTTTCCTGATTATCAAAGGGTAAGTGTTACCATTTCCTATGTATTGCTATACTGTCTGGGAACAATCTTTTTATTACCTGGTTCTAGAAATGTGAATATTAACTCTACTCTATTATGGCATATAAATATAACAGTTCTTTCTGCAAAGGAAATTTCTTAACATTTCTATTTTTACCAGGACATAAATATCTCCAGGATGCCTAATTTACGTTCCAGGACATTACTGACACAATGATTTATTCAAATGTGTTCTTGACCTTTGAATGACCTTGACCATCACGGTCAGATACGAAATTTTGAGTTATTTTTTGTACAAGTCAGTTATGTTCTCCAGGAGTATTCTTTTCTTTAATGTTTCTTCAATGTTATTTCTCTCTCTTCATGTGTTTGACTTTTAGAAATAAGAAAAAGTTGAGCATTGTCCCCACTAGTTGATGGTGCTTGTTTTGTTTTTTTTATTGACAACAACATTGTTTTTTAAATGTCAATTATTAATTCATTTTAGGGCATTAGAAGGACACACAAATGGTGATTTACCATGGGCTTGGTGTGATGAAGGTTTGGATGACAAGATGGCTACAATTGTTGGTAATTCATTTGACATCAATAAACTAGAGATGTTATCCTGATCCTCATTTATTATTAAAACATTAGAATATGAGGCTGTCATGAAATGTGACAAAAACATGTGTACCAGATTAATCTAAATCCATGATAAGCCTTGTTACGGCACGATTGGCGGGGGAAAAATGGTGATTCATATACATGTAATACAGACCAACAGTCTCAATACAAGTGTTGTATTGCTTTGAAAATTGTACATCATATCTTTAATTAGTGTTATACAGTTGAACCTGACCGTCTGTTGAGGTCTTAAGTTGCTCAACCAGTTTGGTAATTTAGTTGTTAAACAATTTTGGTAATTTAGATCCTTTGTGTGTATTTCAGGTGCTAAACCTGGTGAAGTGAGCATTATGAATGGATTGACTGTTAATCTTCATTTACTTTTGGTAATAATTTACTTTATAATATATTAAATAATTCATACATGTTTTTATTAGCTCACCTGTCACAAAATGACATGGTGAGCTTTTGTGATTCCTTTTCGTTCGGCGTCCGTCCGTAAACTTTTAATTTAAACAACATCTTCTCATAAACCGCTTAGCCACTTTTATCTAAACTTCACAGGAATGTTCCTTTGGTAGTCAACTTTAAAAATTGTTCAAAGAATTTAATTCCGAGCAGAACTCTGGTTGCTATGGCAACCGAAAGAAAAAACTTAAAATATCTTCTTTTAGAAAACCGAAAGATCTAGAGCTTAAATATTTGGCATGAATCATCATCTAGTTAGTGTCTACCAATTTTGTTCAAATAAATGCCCTGGGGTCAAAATTGGCTCCACCCCTTCCGGGGGGTCATTGATTTTCCTTATTTGTATATAGTAAAACTTAAAAAATCTTCTTTTAAAAAACCAAAATAGCTAGAGCTTAGATATAAAGCATGAACATCTTCTAGTGGGTTTCTACCAAGTTTGTTCAAATAAATGCCCTGGGGTAAAAATTGGCCACGCCCCAGGGGGTCATTGATTTTCCTTATATGTGTATAGTAAAAACTTAAAAAATCTTCTTATAAGAAACCTTAAGAGCTAGAGTTTAGATACTAATCATGAAATATCTTCTAGTGAGTGTCTACCAAGTTTGTTCAAATAAAAGCCCTGGGGTCAAAATTGGCCCCTCCCAGGGGGGGGGGGGAGGTCATTGTCTTTCCCTATATGTATATAGAAAAAAATTAAAAAATATTCTTATAAAAAGCCCAAAGAGCTAGAGCTTAGATATTTATCATGAAACATCTTCTAATGGGTGTCTATCAAGTTTGTTAAAATAAAAGCCCCTGGTTTGAAATTGGCCTTGGCCAAGGGGCCTATATACAGATGAGTGATTTCATGGCCATCATGGCCCTCTTGTTAAATAATTCATACATGTTTTTTTATACTAAGAGTACTCAAGGTGAGCTATTGTCATCACCCACAGTTTTCAGCATCAGTCTGTCTGATTTTTAGTTGCAAAAGTATGAACTGGCGAAATAACAGTAAAAAGAACAAGTAATTAAACTTTGCTTAACTTTGATAAAAAGATTTGAAGTTTAGGATGTGCATCTGGGATGTGCTTGTGGATTAATTTTGTTTTGTCAGAGTTATTGCTCTTGACTTTGTATAAATTTGCAATTTCAACTTGTGTCATGCATAGCTTAAATGAAACTGTACAGAAATGTTGGTCAGTATATGTAGGTATGCACCTGGAGGTTTGCCTGTGAATTTATTCAGTATTCTTAGAGTTATTTCCATTGACATAGTAATTTTTTTGGAATTTTCAACTCGCACATACCAAATAAAATATTTGAACTAGTCATGAAACTTTACAGAAACGTTGGTCAGCATGTGAAGTTGTTCACCTTGGGGATTGCTTGTACATTTGTATATTTCGAATTGGGTCATGGTTCAATGATTTTTGCCCTTTAACTTTGAAAAAAAGGAAATTTTCAATTTCTGTTCATTATCACCCAAACAGTTGTCCATATTCAACTCAAATTTAATGTATGGATATGTCATAGGAATATGCTGGTCAAGTTCGAATTTGGTAATGGTTTGATGATATCTGACTTGAACTATGAAAAAAAAATGAAATTTTTTGTTTCCGTTCATTATCTCCCCAACCGTTATACACTTTCAACTCAAATTTGACATAAAGATACATCTTACGAATAAGCAGGCCAAGTTTGAATTTGGTCATGGTTTGATGATTTTTTTGGACAAAGGTATCTCTTTTGAATGTTGGAAAATAATTGGAAATTTTCAGTTTCTGCACTCTTACTTTTGTGGAAATGTATGTAGTCATTATCTCTGCTACAAATATGCAATTTGGAAAAGGTTAACACTGAATATTTTCATGGCCTTGAACTTTGTATAAAAAAAGTTTGTGTTAACATTAAATAGTTGAAGGGCTTTGAACTTAAAATGTGCAAACAAATTTGGAACTAACATTATTATATCATTTAGAATTTTGGCTGCATGCCGGAGCATGCATGGTGTGACAACACATTTCTAGTTTATTTTGGGAAAAATCAAGGTGTCCACATTGCAAAAATTGGATGTTGTTTTTATGCCCTAACCACTTAGAGGTAGGGGGAGTCGTAGAATTTATTTTGTCTGTCCTTAAACTGACAAAACAGTGGAGTGTGGGGGCATCTGTGTCCTATGGACTTATTTCTAGTGTTGATTTGTAAAGTACATGTACATGTATTTTGTTGACTTGTAGTGTATATTTATTTCAGATATCATTTTATAGACCAACTCCAGCACGATTTAAGATATTGATGGAAGGACACGCTTTTCCATCCGACCATGTAAGTATTATGTACACTATGTATAATTATACCCCCACCATATAATGTAGAAGGGGATATACTGGAATCACTTGCGTCGTTTGGTCAGTCCATCCATACTTTGTTTATCTTTCTCCAATGTGTCAGCTATATAAATCCTATACCCTATGAAGAATTTTCTTCAAACTTGCCTCAAATATTCACCTCAAAATGGGAATGTGCAGAATCAATATCACTTCCATGCAAGCTCAAGGTCAAGGATCCACTCAAAAGGTCAGTTACAATTTTGTGTCTGCTCTACAAATCCTATAGCCCTTGAAGGAAATTCTTTGTAAACCTCATCAAAGAGATGTGCAGAATGTATTCTGTAGCTGTGGTGGCACAAGGCCATGGACACACTTGAAGGTCAAATGTGTCCTTTCGCTAAATTCCTATTGACCCCTTAATAGATTTTTTTTTAATTTGGCTCAAAAGTTCACCTCAGCAGGGAGATATGCAGAATCTATAAAGGTCAAATGTAACTGCACTATAAAGCCTTGACCCAATTTCCTTAAAACTTTGCTCAAAATATTTGAATATTCTCAACAAGGTAATGTGCTCTGAGGTAAAAGTTGTTCAATTTTATGTCAGAACTTATAAGTTCTATACTCCTTGAAGGATGATAACTTAAAATATAATTTAAATAGACATAAATAAAATCCTATGTGTTGGTTTTTGTCACTGCCGTGGTAGCTATGTTAGTCACTGACCTGGGGTGAACATTGAGTATAATTCATATAATTACTATATCAGTGCAACAGAGTGATAAAATATTTATTGTTATGTTAGGCCCTGCTTTTGGTCTCTTTTTCGGTGGCAAGGATAAACAAACCCAAACACACAATCACTTAAAAAGTAGGAGCCTACTTTAATGAAGTCAATGTCTGTCTGTTTATATAGACATACTTACATTAATGCTTTGGATGGCTACAAGAATATTAGGTAACTGTACTCCCTGGTTAATGTCATTCATTCCATTAGCTGCTATGATATGGCTATTTTTATATGCCTGAAAGAATTTTGGGTATATTATGTTATACCCCCTGGCTTCTGTCCATCCGTCACTCTGTTAGCAATTTGGTTTCCGGAGCATAACTTAAGTTCCATTTTGCCCACAATATTCAAATTTCCTAGGATGATTGTCCGTATTGGGTAGAAGACCCCTATTGATTTTGGTGTCACAAGGTCACTATTACCTTAAAACTGAAAACAGTTTCCAGAGCATAACTTAAGTTTCATTTTGCCCACAGTCTTCAAACTTCATAGGATGATTGTCCGTATTGGGTAGAAGACCCCCTATTGATTTTAGGGTCACAAGGTGAAAGGTCAAGGTCACTTTTACTTTAAAACTGAAAACAGTTTCTTGAGCATAACTTAAGTTCCATTTGGCCCACATTATTCAAACTTCATAGGATGATTGTCCATATTGGGTAGAAGACCCCTATTAATTTTGTGGGTCAAAGGTCAAGGTCACTATTACCTTCAAACTGATAACAGTTTCCGGAGCATAACTTAAGTTCCATTTGTCTCACAGTCTTCAAACTTCATAGGATAATTGTCTATATTGAGTAGAAGACCCCTATTGATTTTGGGGTGACAAGGTTAAGTTCAAGGTCACTATTAACTTAAAACTGAAAACAGTTTCCGGAACATAACTTAAGTTAAATTTGGCCCACAGTGTTCAAACTTCATAGGATGATTGTTCATATTGAGTAGAAGACCCCTATTGATTTTAGGGTCACAAGGTTGAAGGTCAAGGTCACTATTACTTTAAAACTGAAAACAGTTTCTGGAGCATAACTTAAGTTCCATTTGGCCAACAGTATTCAAACTTCATAGGATGATTGTCCATATTATGTAGAAGACCCCTATTGATTTTGGGTCACAAGGTCAAATGTCAAGGTCACTATAACCTTTAAACTGAAAACAGTTTCCTGAACATAAGTTAAGTTCCATTTGGCCCACAGTGTTCAAACTTAATAGGATGATTGTCCATATTGCGTAGAACACCCCTATTGCTTTTGGGGTCACAAGGTCAAAGGTCAAGGTCACTATTAACTTAAAAATGAAAATAGTTTCTGGAGCATAACTTTAAAGGAGGATTGGCTTTTTGAAGGATGTAATTTTTTTTATTCAATTCCCATGTCTTACAAATGCTTCATCCTTACTAAAAAAAAAAAAACACTTTCGGGCATATAATACTCTGCCTAGCGGTGCTCTTGTTTCTATTGTTTGGCTAGAAAACAATAGGGATAACAAATAATGACAAAAAGTAGAAAATGCTTTTGCCTACAGTCCTGTGATTTAGACACAATAGGGTGGCCATGACTAGCAGATGACCCGAGGTCACGGTCATCACAGAATTGACCATGAAAAGCTTGTCCAGTCAGTAACTAGAGAATACATTAGCCTAAATCTTAAGGTTAAGTTTGGTGTACAATTTAAGGGTTATTTTATTATTTGTGGATGAAAATAAACAATATCTCAAAATATATAATGATAATCTTTTTGTTTCTTGTTAAATAAAGTGACAACTTATTAAAGTGATGTTTGTCAAGCAAGCTAATTTGCATGAGTGGATCAGTCCACACCCTTTCTAAGTATTTATATAATATGGTATTTGTGTTTAGAATGTTGTTTTTTAATTGTAGGTTAAATGTAATGACAAACATATATTTTCTTTGCAGTTTGTTTAATATGATGATATAAGAAATATTACTTATGTGTGCATTTCAGTGGTTAAAGTTGAGTAATTAACAATATGTAAATTGTAAATCAATACAATTTGTTTACTAAATCTGTACTGTTTTCTTTCATCATCTTAGTACGCTGTTGAAAGTCAAATAAAATTAAAGGGCTATAACCCCGATACTGCCATGATACTAATGGAACCAAGGGAGGTAAGTACTTGTAAGTTATTCTTTATTTTAATGGAAATTAGCCCACCTGAGCACAAATACTTCAAGACTAGTGGAGTTTTTGTGATTGCAAATGTTAGTATTTCCATTGTTATACACAATTTTCTAAACAAAAACTGCAAGAATCATGGCCCTCAACAAAAAAATTATATAAATGATTCTGATGCTTAAATGCTAACAATAAACTTTAAAAATCTCTTTGGGCATTTGTGGCTGATAGCTTAAGATCATTAAATTTAAACCCATTTGTTTCTCACTGCTATATAATTGAATCTCAGCAAGGACTTTTGGATTCTTTCATGTAAGTTCATGTTCATCTCCAGATTATTTTGATGTAGAGTTAAGACACTGGTATGCTATAGATTAAGGTTGATACAGGTCTATATTTGTTTGCATAAAATAGTTTAGTTGAGAGTTCTACTTTCCATACTTTTTTATGAAAATCCCCTACTTTTATCCCTACTTTTTTGTTGTTATTGGCCAACATAAAGCCTGCTTACATTATTTCTTACAATTTCCTTGCTTATTTTACTTGCCCTACTAACGTGGCAGATTTAATACAAATAATATAGATTATTTTTTGCTCCTACATGTATTAAATCATAACAACTGTTATGCAACAATTAAATTTTAACAGATGTAATTTTGCAGCATTCTATTAATTTCATTTTGTGATAATGTTACAGGGTGAGCACATTTTAAGGAAGGAGGATATATTAAAGGTTATAGAAGAACAGGGTAATTCTATAGCACTAGTGTGTTTAAGTGGTGTACAGTATTACACAGGACAAAAGTTTGACATGCAAACAATAACGCAGGCTGCACAGGAAAAGGTATGCAATGTATATTTTTATTCATGGTCATCGCTGGGAACGTGAGTGAGTCACGTAAGAAGTCTGTTAGTAATTATTTTGTTTGGAGGATAGTTTAACTGAATGCAGAAATTACTTCAGAAACATACAAGATATAAAGTACCATAACAAGGGCCCTGGTTGCTCAGAGATGGCTTTTTCTGAATGCATGATGTTTGTTGTTGTTTGTTATTGCCTATCGTTATCTGCAATTTCTTTAAACATTTCCTCCTAAACCACATACCTGGTACTGGATTTTGATCAAGCTTCATAGAAATGATAGATGTATGATACTTTACAGAAGTTATATATAAATATATCCAGTCTGATGTATGTCACAGATGCAGAATATAGACTTTAAAAATGAAATATTCAAAAATTGTTCCTCACAGAGCTTAGATTTTGGTATGTAGTATTTCTTTGATGACCCCAGGGACAAAGTTGGCCCCAATTTAGGGGCTCACTAAGTTTACATAGACTTATATAGGGTAATACATTTAAGTCTTCTCCTTTAAAAGAAAACGTCTTAGAGCTAAGATGTGTGACATATAGCATTGTCCAGCAGAAATGTAGTTGAATAAATCATTGCTGATTTGTAAAGCAGTCATAACATTAAAGATATGAACCAAAACGTTTTCTTCAAATTTTATCATCAAAGTAAGTTTTTCTACAGCAGCATATAATATTTTGTTGCTTTTAAAGGAGCTCCTGTGAGGTTCAAAAGCTTAAAAAACATTAACTTTGAAAATCTTACATCGTTCCACTAGAACAAGTAAATATGAAGAAGATAATAAAAGTTTACAAAGAATTTTATTGAAAATCAATATTTTGTGTGATCCTAAGACTGATTTGAGTTAAAACATTTAAATGATCTCATTTTAGGTGATAAACACTGATTATTCTAGAAAAACAGTGAGATCAAATTATCTTAAATTATTGGTTAAAGACCTTCATCAAATGATATTTGAATTCCAGCCTGTCATGGCAAAGGGCCTCAGTGCAGTCCCTTTAAACAATTTTCAGTAGCAACTTTAACATGTATCAAAATTATCACCATTTCATACATGTTGTTGTTTCTTTTAGCATTGAATGCCTTTCAAACATTTTTTTGCAGTCAAAACTATGTAAAAAAACCACAATGATTATCACACCTAGGATTTTTGACATGATGGGACAGGAATTGAGAAGTTGCAGTATTTGTTTTATATTTGACAGGGTTGTGTTGTTGGATGGGACCTAGCTCATGCTGTTGGCAATGTAGAAATAAAACTACATGACTGGAATGTGGACTTTGCTTGCTGGTGTACATATAAAGTATGTCACAAATTCAAATAAATCAATTATTGTTTCCATTACTTGCATTATGATATAAAATTCATTTTAGTTTTATAATTCACAGCTTCTTAAATTTTTCAATTTCTGTTAAAGTATGTCATGTACTTTTAGGCCAAGTGATATAAAGTAAAAACTTTTTCATATTCAAAATATGATTTGAGTAGAGATATATTAACTCGCTGTATACCAATGTCACACTGGAAGACACTACAGGCAACAACAACAGTAAAGATGGAAAATTGCCTATTGAGGCATTTACAGCATTGGATTATATCCAAGTGCATAATTTTGCTCTTAAACCATACATTATTCTACCACAAAGCACTGAAAATTAATATCTATTTTTTCACATTTGCAAGATTTTCACATTTTAAAGCAAAATTAAATGTTAATTACTAGTATTTAAGATTTTGGTGCAAATTTTCATGTCTTCTTTCTAATGTCCTGTCTCATGCTAAATGATAAGGGCAATTTTGGAAAGTCCATGGGAAATATTTTAAATGTAACAGACATCTTTTGTATTTTCAGTTTTGCTATAACATGATAATTTATTGTTTAAAAAAAATGCCCACATCATATTTCATATACATTTTACATGTGGACTTGATTATTGGTCATGAATGAATGATTCCATTGTAATCATGCCATGTACAGAAAGTGGCCAAACCAGTTTTGGTGAAATATTTGTAAGACACTTAAACCATAACCATATTTAGGAAAAAAAAATTAAGAAAATGTTTGCATTAGAAATGTCTTTCAGTGTATATTTGCTACTATTTTAAAGAACTTAAAGTAAAAGAATGTTGTTACGATATTTGAAAAAGTTTTAAATGCTATGATAGTTCTTTTCATGTTTTAGTATGAATCAGTGAACTTGAACATTTATTATAAAATTGAAACATTAGAATTAAAATGTGAGTAATTTTCATGAAGAAATTCTTTATTTGTTATATATGAAGTAATTGAGCAAGCAATTTGGTTTAAAAAATATATTTTAGTATCTAAACTGTGGTGCTGGTTGCCTTGCGGGACTATATATACATGAGAGACATTATAATAATGATTACCCTCGTCTAACTGGCTGGTGGGGACATCAGCTCTCTACCAGGTTTGAAATGGACAACAGTAAGTTAAACTTGTTTTATGCCTTAAAAAATCCTTACAAATAATTTCAAGTAAATGTGTTTGATGGTGTGTTTGCATAATCAAATTGATTAAATCAATATAGTTGAGTAGCCTTTGTTTCACACATACAGTTAATTTAAACCCCCATTTACCATAGGAATTTGAATTAGTTTAGTGAATTTGTTAATAAACACATATTTGTCATAGAGAAGATTTACCATCATGTATATATCAGTGTTTCAGTGGTACACACTATTTGTGTTACAATTAAATATTTCAGAGTTCAGTCCGTACCCAGGAGCTAAAGGTTACAGGTTGAGTAACACACCTGGTTTTCTGTGCCCTCCAATTAAAGCTAGTTTAGAGGTAAGTTAGTTACAGTGATCATCTTATGTTACAATTATAGCTTGAAATTTCTTTTATACTTCATTTTTGTTAAACAAGATTTATATATATTGTGACATGGTTACAGTTCTACAGTCTATAGTAATTAAAGTACAAAATATTTTATTTAGATATACATCATTTTGTACCTGGTAAAAGTAACAAATTTCATAACAGATTACCAGAATTAGCAGCCTATCTTCATTGAAATAAGTATTCTAAATTAGAAATTGTACCAAATTGTCAAAAACTGATGTTAGTATAGTAAAATAGAAATAAATGTGACAGACTTATGTAGTACAATATAGTAATATAATATTTGATATATCTATAATTGCATCATCTTTTTTGGGATACAAATATTGTATTGTATAGTCCCTTTTTAGATATTTGAGAAAACGTCAATCAAAGAGTTGACAGAAAAGTGTCGTTTGTTGACGGGGTACTTAGAGGCTAGAATCATACGTCAATATGGTTACCCTGATACAAATACTTCAGTTAAAAATGGAACAGATGTAGGCAATGGAGACAGTAATGATGGTCCAGCAAAACATGTTTATGTAGAAATTCTTACACCTTCTGATCTGTCTCAGCGAGGTGCTCAACTTTCCTTGTCATTTTCTGTCAATATAACACAGGTGTTTAAAGAACTTATGAAACGTGGAGTTGTGGTACGTATATATTACACAAAGTGAGGCTACATACTTGGTTATACATTCTTATTCTGTAAATTGTGAAAGAAACTGATTTTTTAGCTCGACTATTCGCAGAATAATCGAGCTAATGCAGTCACCCATTTGTCGGCGTCCCTGTGGTTAAGTTTTTGTATGTAAGCTGGTATCTCCATAACTACTGAAGGGAATGGATTGAAACTTCACACACTTGTTCTCTGTGATTATCTAAGATGATTGGCACAAGTCCCATAACTCTGATTTGCTTTTTTTCATAATTATGCCCCTTTTTCGACTTAGAAATTCTTGGTTAAGTTTTTGTATGTAAGCTGGTATCTCCATAACTACTAAAGGGAATGGATTGAAACTTCACACACTTGTTCTCTGTGATTATCTAAGATGATTGGCTTAAGTCCCATAACTCTGATTTGCTTTTTTACATAATTATGCCCCTTTTTCGATTTAGAAATTCTTGGTTAAGTTTTTGTATGTAAGCTGGTATCTCCATAACTACTGAAGGGAATGGATTGAAACTTCACACACTTGTTCTCTGTGATTATCTAAGATGATTGGCACAAGTCCCATAACTCTGATTTGCTTTTTTTACATAATTATGCCCCTTTTTCGACTTAGAAATTCTTGGTTAAGTTTTTAGCTCGACTATTCGATAAGAATAAGTAGAGCTATTGCAGTCACCCGAGCGTCGGCGTAACCACTTATGTTAAAGTTTTTGTAATAGTTCAAATATTTTCAAAGTCCATAGACATATGGCTTTGAAACTTTGCACACTTGTTCACCATCATGACCCCAACCTGTAGACAGGAGGAGGTAACTCTATCAAGCATTTTGACAGGATTATGCCCCTTTTTCGACTTAGAATTTACGTTAAAGTTTTTGTAATAGTTCAAATATTTTCAAAGTCCATTGACATATGGCTTTGAAACTTTGCACACTTGTTCACCATCATGACCCCAACCTGTAGACAGGAGGAGGTAACTCTATCAAGCATTTTGACAGAATTATGCCCCTTTTTCGACTTAGAATTTACGTTAAAGTTTTTGTAATAGTTCAAATATTTTCAAAGTCCATTGACATATGGCTTTGAAACTTTGCACACTTGTTCACCATCATGACCCCAACCTGTAAACAGGAGGAGGTAACTCTATCAAGCATTTTGACAGAATTATGCCCCTTTTTCGACTTAGAATTTACGTTAAAGTTTTTGTAATAGTTCAAATATTTTCAAAGTCCATTGACATATGGCTTTGAAACTTTGCACACTTGTTCACCATCATGACCCCAACCTGTAAACAGGAGGAGGTAACTGTATCAAGCATTTTTTTTACTATCAAGCACTAAGAATAGTCGAGCGTTGCTGTCCTACCGACAGCTCTTGTTGTATGTAAGCTGGTATCTCCATAACTACTGAAGGGAATGGATTGAAACTTCACACACTTGTTCTCTGTGATTATCTAAGATGATTGGCACAAGTCCCATAACTCTGATTTGCTTTTTTACATAATAATGCCCCTTTTTCGACTTAGAAATTCTTGGTTAAGTTTTTGCGTGTAAGCTGGTATCTCCATAACTACTGAAGGGAATGGATTGAAACTTCACACACTTGTTCTCTGTGATTATCTAAGATGATTGACACAAGTCCCATAACTCTGATTTGCTTTTTTACATAATTATGCCCCTTTTTCGACTTACAAATTCTTGGTTAATTTTTTGCGTGTAAGCTGGTATCTCCATAACTACTGAAGGGAATGGATTGAAACTTCACACTCTTGTTGTCTGTGATTATCTAAGATGATTGGCACAAGTCCCATAACTCGGATTTACTTTTTCGCATAATAATGCCCCTTTTTCGATTCATAAATTCTTGGTTAAGTTTTTGTGTGTAAGCTTGTATCTCCATATTTACTGAAGGGAATGTATTGAAACTTGAAGGGTTTGTACCTTTTCGGACAATTTTATGTATTCATATAGGTAAGCATTATTATACTCAATGAAACACCCTCGTGACAAATTTTCGAATAGTCGAGCGTTACTGTCCTCCGACAGTTCTTGTTATAAAAGATAGTGTTGACTTCGTAATCATTGTATGTTGAAATGTGAGAACAGTAGATTTTGATTTTTAAAAAAAATAATTATGTAATGGAAGGACTAGATAAACATGATTTAAGGTATCGTTTGTTAGAATTATTCAAGTGAAAATTACTGAGCAGACAATAGGGTTCTCCAGAAACAGAAATGAAATTTATGAAAACAAGTAGTCACTAATTGTTATATGAGAATATTATATTATAAATTGTTATATGAGACTATTATATTATATATTATAGTTATATGAGATTATTATATTATAGATAGTTATATAAGACTATTATAGATAGTTATATTAGACTTGTATTATAGTTATATGAGATTTTTACATTATAAATAGTTATATGAGACTATTATATATAGTTATATGAGACTTTTATATTATAGTTATATGAGACTTTTATATTATAGTTATATGAGACTTTTATATTATAGTTATATGAGACTTTTATATTATAGTTATATAAGACTTTTATATTATAGTTATATGAGACTGTTATATTATAGTTATATGAGACTGTTATATTATAGTTATATGAGACTTTTACATTAGTTATATGAGACTGTTATATTATAGTTATATGAGACTGTTATATTATAGTTATACGAGACTTTTACATTATAAATAGTTATATGAGACTATTATAAATAGTTATATGAGACTGTTATATTATAGTTATATGAGACTATTATATTATAGTTATATGAGACTTTTATATTATAGTTATATGAGACTGTTATATTATAGTTATATGAGACTGTTATATTATAGTTATATGAGACTATTATATTATAGTTATATGAGACTGTTATATTATAGTTATATGAGACTATTATATTATAGTTATATGAGACTGTTATATTATAGTTATATGAGACTATTATATATAGTTATATGAGACTTTTATATTATAGTTATATGAGACTATTATAAATAGTTATATGAGACTTATATTATATTATATATTAGACAGGGACTTGGATTCTTTCATGTGAGAAAGCTATCCAGCTAGCTTACAGAACGTCGGTGGTTCTACTCAGGTGCCCGTTCGTGCCTAAAATAATGCACTGAGGGGCACCTGAGGTCTTCCTCCACCAGTAAAGCTGGAACGTTGCGATATGACCTATACTGTGTCGATGTGACATAAAACCCAATCAAAACAAACAAATTTACATTATAAATAGTTATATGAGACTATTATATTTTACATATACAAGACTATTAATAATTTGTGATGAATTCATACAGAGAATAATTGCTGTTTTCTTCTTATAAAGACTGGCTCTTATAACAAACCTTTTATTTTCAGTGTGATGAGAGGAAACCAAAAGTTATACGTATCGCTCCAGCACCGCTATACTGCTCGTTTGAGGACGTTCACAGATTTATGAGATATCTTGATGAGGCCCTTCATGCAGCACATGCTTTAGAATAATAAATAGAGATATCTCAATATCTTCAATATATCATTTCCACAAATATTGCCTAACTCATCTTCTATCTTTGTTACACAAATTCTCAACCAGTGAAACTTTTTTTGTATGATGGAACTAGGAATTGATATTTTAAATACAATGTAGTTTTTTTATTCATTTAATGTAAATGAAGAGAGGATTTTATCAGCTAGAAAACATCTCATTTATCAGCTGATGCTACATGTATGTAGAAACAAATGTATATAAATTGCTATCATTGTAATTTGTCATTTGGTTGATGAGAGTATGTCAGTATACAAATGTATATATACATATAGAGAATGAAAAAAGAGGAGTTTAATTAATTTTAGTGCATATGAAATGTATCTCATTAACCCTTACAATGATCAATATCTTAAGTATCTCGTCAAGTCTCCCATTTTTCAATCTCCTCAATTTTAGGGCACAGATGTATGGGCTGATCTTAGTCAACAGTGTTTGCATAGCCAGCAGTTTATCCATTAAATTATGTCTCTTAAAACACAGTATCATTCATATGTATTTTCCTTGGATGAACCGCTTTCAAAATATTCCATTCCTGAAGAACTCTGGTTGCCATAGTGACCAAAAGAAAAAACTTGAAACACTTCTTATTGATATGAATAAAGAGAAAACTGTTAGGATTTGGTTTTATTTTTTCAAATTACTTTGATTCAATAAAATTACTGCTGCTAGACGTGTCTCTCTGTATGTATATAGAAAAACAACAACAAAGTTTGTATCTCAAAAACTATTCAAGGAAGTAGGTTAAAACTTTACACACTTGTTCTCTGCGATTATCCAACATCATGGACATAGGTCCCATAACTCTAAGTTGCCTTCTAACAGAGTTATGCCCCTTCTACCAGTAGTTGAATCCTGTCTTATTGACAGCTCTCCTTTTGAGGAGGTAAAGTGTTGTCACAATGTGGTCCTTTTTTGTGTTTGAACTTACTATTATTATCATAATTGTCCTGAAAGCTTGCAGAATTATGCCAAGGCATTTTTATAATTAGCAGTAACTAATGTTGCAACCTTTTTGATAACATTTACCCAGTAGTAAATTATATCTTGTCTTGATTATTGGCTTCTTGCTTTCAGAATTTTGATATTGAAGTATCTTAAATTGAAGATAATATGACACTAGGACATGTTGATTTCAGTCTGAGATATGTTAAATAATAGTACATTATCCCAATCAGGGCTATACAAATGTATTGCATTTCAATTTTTGCATTTATGCAACATATGTCAATTGTATACAATGGGTAGGGGCAATTTAAAGTATATTTTTTTGTGTTTGCATTTTTGTACATTTAACAGTGCTTTTGTTTTCCTTTACAAGATAGATTAATATTATGTTATTATAATATATGTTAATATTTAACAATAAAGAGAACACTCAAATACATGTATGTTTTACTTCTTTTTGACGAGTTGCATGAACACAGGCCCTGACCCCAAGAATGTGTTGATGCAAATGAGAAACATAATGGATATTATAAAATTGAAATGGAGAATATTTGTATAATTTGTGGATGTTTTGTTTTGTGACCACAAACTATTTTGGTCATGTGTGAATAAGTTGAATATTTAAATATCAGATTTTTTGGGAGTAATTTCATTATCTGTTCAATTGTTTTACTCACTCAACTTTACCAAACATTAGAATTGATGAAGAAAATGTATGAATTTGCAGCACTTAAGCTCATAGCAATGTATTTTCCCACACAGCCTGTATAAAAAATGTGACCGACATGGCAGGGCTAATCTCGGACTACAGAATAATAATTTATATAACTTCTTAGGACCACAAGGTCATGCTATACTTATTTAAGCTGTGGGTATTGTAGTTTCTGTGCAAATTTTTAAAGATTATTTTGGGACCCGTTCTGATGTTTTCAAGCAATGCAAATAGGAATATAAACAAAACAACCTCAGAACATCTTTTCATAATTTATTTGTCTTTGTTCTTCAAAAACTGTTAAATCAACAAATTTCGGAGAAAAGAAATCCCTGATCCCACGTTGCCAGACCTAATCTTCAAATTTCACTACACACACGCAACAGGAACCATTGTAAACATTTACACCAGTACCACACCAGCACTAACATAGCACTTATACATGTCAAAAACTAGACCATTGTCTACATGATACTCTTTCAACTGCAGAAATATATGGGAATGCATTGTGCAGTAATATAACTAACTGTACAGATATTATTCGGACAAGTACCTTGCTATAATAATTATATTGATTATATATAAAAAGCTAATTTAAAATACTAGAAAAACAATCCATTAACTACAGTGCTCTCTGCTCTGCAGAAGATGTGTTTATGATGCGACTAGTTTGTATTTCTGGTTCATAAAAAGTAAAGTTATATAAGCAAATGGTAGAATGACCAAATAACGATGATAAAGTTACCAAAAAAAAAAATCACTCTTTCTTTATAGTGAAGGGAAGCCAGTGTCTGGCAACACATTATTTCAGTCTATATTTTCTGTTCACACAAATATATTAAAATAAATTCACACACAAAATAATACAGTGTATTAGTTTTAGCCACAGTTTAATAACATTTTATTCTATGGCAGAAAATGTTTTATATTTAAGGCTAGCTGCATTTGTTAATTCAAAAGTCAAAAATGTGTCTAAATGTTGACTACTGTCAATTTTTTAAGCTCCTCTGGAAGGTCTCATCAATAGCATCAAGGAAATCCATTGTGTACAAATAGTGTTCTGGTTTTACACTGAAAATATAAAATTATACTTTATACTTATATCTTTGCTCTATGATGAAACAAATCTCATGTAGTCTACAGGACAAGTGAGGAAACCTGTAACACATTAATTAGCGGTCCTCAATTTCCAGAACCACCTAAATACTCAAAACAAGGCTAGCCAATTTAAATCAGGTAGCATGGGACTCCGTATTATCGACATATTTAAAGTTTCCTATATGTCTGCATTGAACTTCATCGATGAATTTAATAATGAATAGTTTATGTAAAGCAGAACAGATTCAACGAAAAAATTCCTTTTTTATTGAATGAGGTCAAAGATATTTAACCTCATCGTATACATGACCGCACATGACAAAATACTGAGAGTACGTCTGTAATAGAGTTGTGCCTATAATACAGAGTTAGAGTATAACATTTCTGCAAAATAGTTTTATTTCCTGCTATCCATATAAAAGATACAGATTGGACACAAATTTTTTAATTCATATATAATAAATAATTGCTTGACCAAGGGAAGGTCAAACCTGTGGTCTGCACATCTCATTAGGGCAAGTAGTTTCAATATCAGTTTAAAACATACAGGACAAAAAATTGTTAACAGACCGCTGAGCAGGTGCGTAACAACATACAACAAATTGTTTCAGGAATTTAAAAACAAAACAAAAATAATTACTTTTTGAGTCCATAGATACATCCAGCCAGATCTTTTGTCATTTTTCCAGCATCAACAGTGTCTACGCAGGCCTTTTCTAATTGTTGAGCCCATTTCTGCAATTCTTGATTACCGTCTAGTTTCCCTCTGTGTTCTAAGCCTCGAGTCCATGCAAATATACTGGCAATAGGATTGGTACTGGTTTGGTTACCCTAAAACAATAAAAAAAAACATAATAAATAGCAGTTATTCCAATCAAGTTTCATGAAAATTGGTCGAGTGGTTTTAAAGAAGTGCACTCAGACAGCCAAACGAACCGAGAGCCTTAAAGATCCTGTATGTTTTGCGATTGATATTGTTACTGTGTGTATACTACACTTGCAAAAAGTTATATATGATATAATTATGCAAATAAAACAATTTTCTAACATCAAAGAATATGTAAAATGTGTACTGCAAATATTTGTGCACATTATATTTAATCAATAAATTACATGCATCCATTTCTTATTGGAAAATTTGACTTAGAATTTATAGAAAATAAATTTCTAATTACCTCCCTTTATTTACATGAAATGTTAAATTGGGAAATATTTTTATAAATAATGCTTATTGGAACTTACAATATTGACAAATCTTAATTTGAGCATCATATCTTTGAAATAAAACCATGAAAAAATTGTGTTACAGGATCTTTAAACCAGTATACCAAATTTTTGTCACTTATAGTCAAACTTTGTTTTCTCGTACACGGAGGGTCTGTACAAATTTGTTTGAGATCAGTAGTTTGGGTCAATTGAAGCTGAAATATTTCCCCATTTTATTTGTATAATTAGATATTTTACACAGGACATTGACGTGAACGTTATCCAGGTTACATCCTCATTTACATGTTTTTGTACATCAACTTAGTAATGTTGTACAAATATTCAGAATTATAGCTGAAAGCAATATATACCTGTGTTTTCAAATGAATATTAAAGGTACACTGAGTTAATTTGTATTCATGCTTATTGAGACTGGTTTTCATGCATCGCAATTTTCTCACTATAAAGAATTGACAGCAGTGAAAACATGTACCCAATTTTTAAACTTCTGTTGGTATATTTGATGTATTACCTTCTGATGTTCCCTGTAATGTCGTGTCACTGTACCATGGGCTGCCTCAGCCTCAATTGTTTTACCATCGGGACATACCAGAACACTGGTCATTAAACCAAGTGAACCATAACCTATATATAGGATGAAATAAATTAAAAGACAAGAGCGATCAGTAATCACATGTGTCGCCTCATGATGGCCAATTTCATGTTGGGACAAATTTTGTGACAGACAGACGGACAGTGCACAACTAGACTTGGTACTGATCATTCCTGTAAAGTTTCATTGAAATTGCATTAGTGGTATAAGAGAAGTAGTCCGTCCAAACTTTAAAAATAAAAATTATTAAAGGGCCATAACTCAAACAAAAATCATTGAACCGGAAAATGCTGACAATATGCACAACTAGACTTGGTACTGATCATTCCTGTAAAGTTTGGATGAAATTGCACCAGTAGTTTATGAGGAGTAGTCCGGACAAGCTTTTGTTTATCTGGCAACACACAGAAAAAGAAACCTTTTTATCAAAGGGCCAGAACTCGGCCAAAAATCATTCAACCGGAAAACCCGTGCAATATGCGCAAGGACTTGAGCTACAGATCAATCCTGTAAAGTTTCATTGAAATTGCATTAGTGGTATAAGAGAAGTAGTCCGGACAAACTTTAAAATTAACTAGAACTATCACTAAATGTGATTAATACCCCCACAAGACTGCTTCGGAAATGAGGATGTTACTAGTAACAGAATATCTTGTAAAAGAATTGAAATATAGAGTTATGGTTGTGGGCAATTAAAGATAGTTGTGGTTCTTGTATATTGCATTTCCTTTCAATGTGGTTGGCCATTGATGAAGTTTTTTTGAATTACTCTGTAATAAGTCCAGAAAGACAAAGAAAAGGAACAAAGGGCAATAACTCTATAAATACTGAAGATAGAGTTATAGTTATTGTGCACTGCACTTCCTCTTTTTGTGCTTGACCATTGTATGAAGTTGTTTTGAATTTCAACCAGTACGTTTTAATTTATGCTCCAGACAAGGAAAAGTATCAAAGGGCAGTAACTCTGTATTTTGTCAAAATGGAGTTATGGCTCTTATGCACTGCACTTCCTTTTAATGTCCTTGACAACTGTATGAAGTTGTATTGAATTCCAAACAGTAGTTTTCAAGTTATGCTCTGGACAAGGAAAAGTAACAAAGGGCAATAACTCTGTAATTTGTCAAGATGGAGTTATGGTTCTTGTGCACTGCACTTCCTCTCAATGTGCTTGACCATTGTATGAAGTTATATTGAATTCCAACCATTAGTCTTCAAGTTATGCTCCGGACAAAAAAAGCAATGGAAAAGTAACAAAGGGCAGTAACTCTGTAATTAGTCAAGATGGAGTTATGGTTCTTGTGCACTGCACTTCCTCTCAATGTGCTTGACCATTGTATGAAGTTATAATGAATTCCAACAATTAGTCTTCAAGTTATACTCCGGACAAAAGAAAGCAATGGAAAAGTAACAAAGGGCAATAACTCTGTAGTTACTTTAGATAGAGTTATGGTTCTTACGCACTGCACTTCCCCTTACTGTGCTTGACAATTGTATGAAGTTGTTTTGAATTCCAACCAGTAATTTTCAAGTTATGCCCCGGACAAGGAAAAGTAACAAAGGGCAATAACTCTGTAATTACTTTAGATAGAGTTATGGTTCTTGTGCACTGCACTTCCTCTCAATGTGCTTGACCATTGTATGAAGTTATATTGAATTCCAACCATTAGTCTTCAAGTTATGGTCCGGACAAAAGAAAGCAATGGAAAAGTAACAAAGGGCAATAACTCTGTAATTACTTTAGATAGAGTTATGGTTCTTGTGCACTGCACTTCCCCTTATTGTGCTTGACAATTGTATGAAGTTGTTTTGAATTCCAACCAGTAGTTTTCAAGTTATGCTCCGGACAAGGAAAAGTAACAAAGGGCAATAACTCTGTAATTAGTCAAGATGGAGTTATGGTTCTTGTGCACTGCACTTCCTCTCAATGTGCTTGACCATTGTATGAAGTTATATTGAATTCCAACCATTAGTCTTCAAGTTATGGTCCGGACAAAAGAAAGCAATGGAAAAGTAACAAAGGGCAATAACTCTGTAATTACTTTAGATAGAGTTATGGTTCTTGTGCACTGCACTTCCCCTTATTGTGCTTGACAATTGTATGAAGTTGTTTTGAATTCCAACCAGTAGTTTTCAAGTTATGCTCCGGACAAGGAAAAGTAACAAAGGGCAATAACTCTGTAATTAGTCAAGATAGTTATGGTTCTTGTGCACTGCACTTCCTCTCACTGTGCTTGACCATTGTATGTAGTTATATTGAATTCCAACCATTAGTCTTCAAGTTATGGTCCGGACAAGGAAAATGCAACGGACGTCTGGACCGACCGACCGCCCGACCGCCCGACCACCGGGTGACTCCTATATACCCCCCCAAACTTCGTTTTTGGGGGTATAAAAATTATTAAAGGGCCATAACTCTGACAAAAATCATTGAACCGTAAAATGCTGACAATATGCACAACTAGACTTGGAACTGATCATTCCTGTAAAGTTTGGATGAAATTGCACCAGTAGTTTATGAAGAGTAGTCCGGACAAGTTTTGTGACGGACAGACAGACAGACGGACAGACAGACGACGGAGAAGTGATCCCTATATGTCGCCACTACTCCGTAGAGGCGACACTAAAATCAAGATATCAGCTTTCATTAGCTGAATAATTTCAAGCACCTTGCCAATTATATTGAAATGAAGGCATCTAAATACGTATGCCTTAATGTTTATAAAAACCATAGTGCAGGAAGGATAGCACCACACCAGGTTTTCCACCAATAAAAAATAGATAGATCCCTGCAGCAAATTATGAATCAAATCCATCCATGACCAATGAAATTTGACCTCAACAGTTAAAAGGTCAAGGATATTATTGAATTATCCAACATGCAGGTTCTCTTTGAATGCTGTTCTTATAACAGTGTAAATTGAATCAATCCATCCAGCAAGTTATGGTCATGAAGCACATACAATTCTACAACTTGATGGTCATGTCATTTATACTTTGAGATTCACACTTAAAATCAACTTATTATAATACTTGTCAGTGTTGTCTCACTCAAATTCATTCATTAAACCAATAACATGCAAATTCAATAATTTGACCTTAATAGTCAAGGTAATTTTAAGGTAAAAGTCAGTTTTCATAAATCAATACATTAGTTTGGTAAACCGCTATTTTTCCAAGAAAAACAAATATCTGTAAATTAAGGGAGTTTTATCCAATTTTAGTAAAGATCAGTAATTTGACCTTGTAGATCTAGGTAAAGTTCAGTTCAACTTATTTGAAGTATTCTCCTAAGCTAAGAATAGTTATGTATTTTATCATTTGTGTAGCTTTTTCAATGTATGAATAAAATCTGTTCATTTATAATAAAGTTATGGCAATTAGAGCAAATTTGAATAACCTGACCATAAGTCAAGCTCATTTTTTATTAAACATGTCAGTGATATTGTAAATAATATCTAGTGAGCTCTAGTCTTGTAGGACTAGCAGAGTTAAAGAAATTGGAAACACCTTTACAAAACTGAAACATTGCCACCTCCATTGCAGTGATAGGCAATTCACGTAAACCACTCAGACAGCCATAAGTAATATATATATATAAAGGGTTGATTAGTCTATACTTACCCTGTGCTACAACATCTGACTGTACATCACCATCATAGTTCTTACATGCCCAAACAAATCCTCCACTTGACTTGAGAGCCTGGGCCACCATATCGTCAATAAGACGGTGCTCATACCAAATTCCAAGCTTCTCAAAGTCACCTCTGTATTTTGCTCTGCAATATGGAATTTCAGTGTATCATTTCAACTGATGAAGCTTAATAAAGCAAAACATGAATTGATAAACTGTGTTGGGTTTGTGAATTATAGGTTCAAATAAACGTACTGTTGCAGACACTTTGTATTTTTTCCGTTTTAACCTTCCGAGACACGTAGTCGCGTGATAATCACACAGGAAATATCTACTCTAAGCTTGTTATCACCCTTTCCTTTTGTAACACCTTTTTCAAGTCAAATTTAAACTTTCATGGCTCTAAATTTTAAATTAAAATGAGACCAATACATGAATCAAGTCCCAATGTCTCCAAGTTCTTTCGCTGTCCCTTCAATTTCAACTTACCGAAATTATCCTATATAATAATATTTAACATACAAATCAATTATGTTATTATACAACAATGTAACAAAAATGGTGCAACAGTTACCAACTAACTCTAACACTAACTCTGCTAGTTGGCTCTTTAAATTGTAGGAAGTTGCAAAATGATGGTGTATCTGATTTATGTACAAATGTTTTTCCTCCTGATGCCATAATTTTTAAATAGGGTGTAAATGCACAAGAATTTATATCTGCTCAACATGTGATTTTCTTTGGCATGCCTTTGTTATTAAATCAATTTAACAGTGTGCATATGTATTTAACAAAATTTAATTTCAGGAGACAATTTGATCATTGTTTTCAGTTTTTTAAATTTATTTTAGAATGACCAAACTTTCATTTCCATTAATTCTTTGGTAAAGTCAATACACACAAAAAAACCCTGATGGATTGCAAATTACTAAAATGCTAAATAAAAATCCTCTATGAATTAATACATACTGGTAGATTTCTTCAAAGATATCCTTAAATCTACCATCATAACGTTTCAGAATTGTGTTCTTGGTGCTCATGTATAGAGGCCATTTCTTCATGATTGCATACTGGAAGCAGGCATGTGCAAACCCAGTGATTGACTGAAAACAAAGAGTATATGTTGTATTGCTACAATAGATACAGTTACACAAACTGTTTTAAAAACAACATATATATTAAACTCAATTAAAAAGACCAATATGGTTTTGTTGAAGACATTATAATGAGTAATTTTTTAAAGGTTGTTTTGTTGGATTTTAAGTAACATCTACACTGTAAAGGTCACTTGGCCACCTTCCAGCTTTACTGGTGGAGGTAGACCTTAAGTGCATTATTTCAGGCACATGCAGGCACCACAGTAGAACCACCAACATTCAGTGAGCAAGATGGATAGCTTACTTACACGAAGATTTCAAAGTTCCTGATGAGATTTGAACCATCAATGGTGACAGGCAAGTGATTTGTAATCAAGAACCTTTACCACATGTCCACGGAGGCCCAATAAAGGCCTTGATTTTGCACTGCAGCATAGGTTCTTATCTAAGCAAAGTTTGAAGCTGCAAATGATTTATAAAGCAGACACTGTGTAGACAAACTAAGAAATAAACTGATTCCACCAGTATAGCCCTCTTCTCATATTATGGCTGGGGTAAAATAAATGTAATGGTATTTTAATTTTAAAGCAAGGTACTAAAAATCTTAAGATTTCAATCTACAGACTGATGTCCTTAAATAATGTCTGAAAAGCTCACCTCGTCTGTATTGTACATGGCCATACCACAGCCTCCGCCATTTTTGAATTGAAACACTTGGGTTCTGGTTTCAGAGCCACCCTCTGGTGTCCAACTAATTTCAAATTTTCCAGGTCCATCAAATACAACATCTGTTGCTTTGTACTGAAAAATATTACATATATCAAAACATAAAATTACTTGAACCATGTTAATAAAACATAAAATAAAGTGTTGGCTTTATTGTGCACAATAAATGTTATAGGCCTTTGAAAATCTGTCCAGGACTATACTAAGGTTAAAATCACCTATGATCTAAAAAAGTTATTTCGCAGACTGTGATATGCAAACAATGTTTACATTCAGTACACATGAATTGATATATTTTTAATACCTGGTCACCAAAGGCGTGTCTGCCAATTACAATAGCTTCAGTCCAGCCAGGAACCAGCCTGGGGACTTTCTGACAGAGGATTGGTTCCCTGAATACTGTTCCACCAAGGATATTTCTGATTGTTCCATTGGGACTCAGCCACATTTTCTTCAGCTTGAATTCTATAAACAATGAAAATATGGAATGATTATTATCAATGTCTATTTTATTTACAGTTGGCAAAACAAGTTAAAACAAGACCTGTTTGTGGGGGTGTGCTCCACTTTTCTCAGTTGTAGGACATCTGTGGCCGAGTGGTTAAGGAGGTTGACTGCAAACCATTTGCCCCTCACCGCTGAGGGTTTAAATCCCTCAACTTCTTTTACGTGGGGAAGCTATCCAGCTAGCTTACAGAACATGTGGTTCTATTCGCCTAAAATAATGCATGGACGGGCATCGAAGGTCTACCTCCACCAGTTAAGCTGGAGTGTCGTCATATGACCTATACTGTGTAGGTGTTTACTAGCTCTCACATTTCAACACACTTGGACTTAATGAAATTTCATTGTAGGAGGAATGAATATAAATGACCTGTAGGAACACATTAAGAAGACTTGCATGTGGAGTGCCAGATAAGCCCATGTGAGGTACGATTTGCCAGAACAACTTATTTTAGTAAAATTTATGGATTTCTCTACCCAGTTAGTGAGAAAATGTTTTTCTTACTGAAAATTATTTTAAAACAAAAATGCCTTTTTTAAACAAGAGGGCCATGATGGCCCTGAGGTCGCTCACCTGTATATAGGCCCCCGGAGCATGGCCAGTTTAAACCTCAGGGCTTTTATTTGAACAAACTTGGAAGACACCCATTAGAAGATGTTTCATGATGTTAAGTTTTTACTACACACATATAATGAAAAATAATGACCTCTGCCCCCCACCCCCCCAACCCCCTTGGCAGGGCCAATTTTAACCCAAGGGCTTTTATTTGAACAAACTTGGTAAACACCAACAAAAAGATATTACCTGCTTAAAATCTAACCTCTAGCTCATTGGGTTTTTTAAAAGAAGATTTTTTTAAGTTTTTACTATACACATATAAGGAAAATATATCGTTAAAAACAATGATACCTCTGGGGTGAGGCCAGTTTTAACCCCAGGGCTTTTATTTGAACAAACTTTGTAGACACTTACTGGAAGATGTTTCATGCTTAATATCTAAACTAGCTATTTGGGTTTTTTCAAAGAAGATTTTTAAGTTTTTGCCATACAAATGTAAGGAAAATCAATGATCCCCGGGGTGGGGCCAATTTTGACCCCAGGGCTGTTATTTGAACAAACTTTGTAGACACTCACTAGAAGATGTTTCATGCTTAATATCTAAACTCTAGCTATTTGAGTTTTTCAAAGAAGATTTTTTATGTTTTTGCTATACACATATAAGGAAAATCAATGACCCCCAGGGCGGGCCGATTTTGACCCCAGGGCTTTTATTTGAACTAACTTTGAAAACGCCCATTAGAACATGTTTCATGCTAAATATCTTAGCTCTAGCTCTTTGGGTTCTTTAAAAGAAGATTTTTTAAGTTTTTACTATATGCTTATAGGGAAAATCAATGACCCCCTGGGGCGGGGCTAATTTTGATCCCAGGGCTTTTATTTGAACAAACTTGGTAGACACTTATTAGAAGATGTTTCATGCTAAATATCTTAGCTCTAGCTCTATGGGTTCTTTAAAAGAAGATTATTTAAGTTTTTACTATATGCATATAGGGAAAATCAATGAGCCCCTGGGGCGGGGCCAATTTTGACCCCAGGGCTTTTATTTGAACAAACTTGGTAGACACTCACTAGAAGATGTTTCATGCCAAATATCTTAGCTCTAGCTCTTTGGGTTTTTTAAAAGAAGATATTTAAAGTTTTTTCTTTCGGTTGCCATGGCAACCAGAGTTCTGCATGGAATTAAATTCTTTGAACAATATTTAAAGGTGACCACCAAAGGAACATTCTTGTGAAGTTTGGATGAAATTGGCTAAGTGGTTTATGAGGAGATGTCATTTAAAGTAAAAGTTTACGGACGGACGGACGCAAAGCGATCACAATAGCTCACCCTGTCACTTTGTGACAGGTGAGCTAAAAACACTTTTGACCTTCAACCAGTGACCATTTTCTCTAACCAAAGTAGGTAAACCACCCAAAGTATTAATATACATTGCAGTCATATTATAACGATTATGATTGGGTCGAAGGTCTCAACATATAACATACATCAAAGTTAGCCATTACAGTTGTAGTAAAAGCTTCCAGCTTTAGATGCGTCCCTTAGTATATCAACACCATTTATCTTTGTCTCAAACTTTTTTGCCTTTCAATAAAAAGTGCATGCTTTTAAAATTGATTTTGGGCTTGCGTGGTTTACTTACTTCAGTGGTTTTTGCATTTTTATAACAATTTGATGCCTCACTAACCGACAGGTAAAACAAACAATAAGTATGTCACTAGGTCAATATTTAGGTCATCTATATGGGATCAATCAATTCTACACCTGAAACTCTGCACATGGCTCATGGCCAAATTTCATAGCTGAACCTAAAATATTAATAAAGTAGGTCCAAAAGCAATCCCAACCAGACTTTCCAAATAAGGTTGCTATAAAGTTTGATTACAATATCATTCCAAACTCTAGTTATCGTTCTGAAACCATGAAGTGGATGGACTGATTAACCAACAGACAAAATGACCCCTTAACTCTGTGGACTACTAAAGTCAAACTTTGTGATGCCTCTTACAAAATTATTCCTTTCATAAGGTCTCAGGCAATTTACCTTCAACTCTTTCTTCATCTGGGGTAATGGTGGCACATTTGATACCAACACTGTACTTCTTTATAGCTTCTGCTGAATCAATGGTCACCTGATCATCTGTAGCATCACGGTATGGTAGTCCAAGATCATAGTACTTGCAGTCAACATCAAGGTATGGGAAAATCAACTGTGGAGAAAACAGTATAATTGTCTGATGATGTCTTAATTATTCTTCAAATCAATTTTGACAAGGGCTATGATTTGAATAAACTTGTTAGATGTCCACTAGACAATGTTTGAAGACAAATATCTAAGCTCTAGTTCTTGTGGTTTCAGAAAAGCAGGTTAACCCATTACTTCATAAGCATTTTGTGAACAATGTCTATTTTCATTGGAAAGCCTCCACTTACAAGTTCAAATTGCTATGAAACTATAACAAGAGCTGTCCAAGGAGACAGCGAAGCTCGACTTATTAAATACTGGACACAGTAAGGAAGGTAAAACTATGAAAGAAAAATCAATTAAGATATGAATATATTTCTTCTTATGACAAGAAGTAATTAATTCCAATTTCAAGGGGTAGGGGGGGGGGGGGGGGATTCTGGAAATAGTCACACAAGAGTTATGGACCTTGTCACACAACATGTGTGTAATGATAACAAATATATATATATATGAAGTGTAAAGTAGATACCTTAAAAAGGGAAGAAGTTATAATATTTCTTAAAGAAAATTCTAAATTCAAAGGGAGAAAAATCTAAAAATATTGCATCAAGTGTTAAGAACCTCGTCACATAAGATCTGGTTGGTGATAAGGAATATGTAATTGAAGTTTGAGGTAGATACCTTTAAAACTAAATAAATTATAGTAATAATAACATTTTTCAAGTAAAAAAATCTAAGTTAATGAGGAGATAATTCTTGCAATATTGGTGCTACAGTTATGAACCTTGTCATATAATAAGATGTGGCTGATACCTTAAGAAATAAAGAAGTAACAGTAATTTTTTTTATGGAAAATTAAGATTCAATGGAAGATAAATCTGAAAATATTGATGCTGGAGTTATGAACTTTGTCACATAAGATGTGTTTGATGATAAGGAACATATATTTAAAAGTTTGAAGTTGATACCTTAAAGTTACATTAAATAAATATGTAAAAATATTTTGCCGTCTGCCTAAAAATAAAACATTCTACAGTTTCATTAACCTGTTTAATAATTTTGTTATAAATCTCATCAAATATTGTTCATAAATTACGATTTTAAACGGGAAACCCCACGGTAACACTAAAGTTCGTATACGAATTTTAACATGCAAATGAAGACTAAAATGAGCTCGTGTATGCGCTACGTCACAGTTTTATAGTTGCTATCTGGAACACAGCAAATGTGATATTTTCTTGTGCAAACACACTTTAACCGTTTAAGCTTCACGGTGCACTAAACCTGGGGTTCAGTAAAAGTAATCATCTCGTAAAAAGATTAAATTTGTATGAAAACATCCGTTACAATGCGGAAATATACCGTTAAATTAGGACTGCCACTTATAGTCAGTCATGTTTGTTGATTTAATACTGATGTACGGATGATCCGAAGGCGGAGTTTCTCATGCAAACAGAAATTGTACTTCCCATTTCGCCACAATGAGGTTACCTATTTTTATGCTAATAAAACTCATTTTGGTTGTTTGGACACTAAAATAAGACCTGGAGTCGATATAAAACCCAATTTATTAATGAAATGTCGCTATTAAGTTTTTTATGAAATTTATTAAATGTAACTTTAAGAAATGAAAAAGTTAGAGTGAAAAATATTTTACTGCACCAAAACTTAAATCTGAAATCTAGACGGGGATGCCGGGGCGAGTAGGACAGCTCTCCATATACTTCGTATAGTCGAGCTACAAAAAGCATCACTACTGTTCAAACTTGGCACAAATGTTGACTGAACCATAGCCTTGGTAATGGCATACTCAATCTTAAATTTCCTTTTACCATGGCAACGAGGGAAAATATCGAAATTGCCAAAAACACTATTTTGCCTTGATTTTCCCATCAAAAATTACTTCAAAGTGCTGCAACTTCTAAATGGATTGAGATAGAGAGATAGAGTCAAAGGCTTTTCAGCGTTGGTAACACGTTACCTTAGGGTTGATCTGAGGCCATTTCAGCATCTCACAAGTCCAAAAGTTTCTTTAAACCCCCAAGCAGAAGGGGGCACATTTCCCCCTCTAGCACACCCTTGATGTATCTATTTCATAGGGGATGGTGCCAAAAAAGTGATCACTTTTTTTTAACATTTTCTCAAACGAAAACAAGTGTTTGAAGTCTAAATAGGGCTTTTTTCACTATTTGAGGCCTCGAAAGGGGTGAGGGGGTTAAAAAGATGTCTAGGTTAATCAACTTTTCAGTAAAATACATACAAGTAAAGCATATGACCCCAAACCGCAACCCTGGCAAGGTCAATTTTGATTCAAAAGCTAAAATGTGAATAAAATTGGTAGAAGCACACTAGACAAGGTTTCATGCTAAATATCTAAGCTCTATGTATTATGCTTTGAGAGAAAAATCTATTTTCATGCTTCTGTGAACTATTTATGCATTAGACTGGAACCATTTATACAACCTTTATTAATGTCACCACAATAGTGGAGATCTTGTTTATTGTGAATATAGACAAACAAAGAGAACTCTGGCATCAATATAGCTCACCTTTGAGCACTGTGAACTGAAAAGATTATCAAAAATTCCACATGTTTATTTAGGGACATTCACTGACCTTCACTGACCTTACATAACAAGTATCAATTCTAGCCTGCAAATTTATTCTCTTACCTTTTCCTTTATTTTCTCCCAAATGATTCTGGTCATTTCATCTCCGTCCAATTCAACAACTGGGTTGGCAACCTTGATACGACTTCCCTGGCCATCTAAAAATAAAATTCTAACACATTAACTTTTATATTTTTATCATTCTACCATTCTTAAGTATTCATAGTTACCTAGAAATGTGATCCCTGCATCAACAAATAACTTTTTCCCAAATAACCTTTTTTCTTGAACCGGAGCTAAACTTGTCAGAAGAACTTAACCATACTAACTTCAAAATTAAATCTTAGCTGTAGCTAAGTCTCTTGAAGATTCAAAATATCAGCAATGCAATTGTGAGCATTAAAATAATAAGCTTTAAACATATTAGTTGCGACGCGCTTTTGGACTCCAACTTTTTCAGGCTTGGGAGTCCATGGACTCCATGTTTTAAAGTCCTAGTGAGAACCCTGTTTGAAAAGACGATTTTTTAAGTTTTTACTATATACATATAAGGAAAACCTATGACCCCCCGGGCGGGGCTAATTTTGATACTAGAGGCAAAATTTGAACAACTTTGGTAGAGTACCTATAGATGATATCATATACCAAATATCAAAGCTCTAAGCCTTGTACCCTCAGACAAGAAGGTATTTTAAGTTTCTACTATACACTGTATGTACATATAATGAAAATCAATGACCCCCGGTGCGGGGCCAATTTTGACCCAAGGGCTACAATTTGAACAATCTTAGTAGAGGTCTACCAGACAATGCCTTATGCAAAATATCTATGCTCTAGGCCTTGTGGGTCCTTACAAGAAGATTTTTTAAATTCCTATAAAGTATAATTCCTTTTGGTTGCCATGGCAACCAGATATCTGCATCTTGAAGGAACATGAATCCCTTGATCTATGAAAAATTTATGGACAGGACACAAAATATACCTTAAGTTAAGTCCAAATATTTAGGCGTAACCGTGACTTTGAAGCTATTTTTACATGGGTCAAATCCGCTTTAATGTCTAAAGATATCTATTTAAAAGTCCATAGCAAAATGGAAAACAATAAACATGCACAATCATTCAAACTCCCTATGCAAAATGTTACAATTAATGCTAGGTATTCATAATCCTACCAAAAATGTGTATTTTCCTTCTCAAAAACAACTTATTCAAATTTTAAACAATTTTAAACAAATCCAGTGTAAAAATCGGTAAACAACCTCCATATGGGTGTTTACTACGCAATGCGGTGATAACTGGAACCAAATTTTTTAGACGAAATTTTTACTGCGAGCACCTGTCAGCGTCTTAAATCACAACAGAATTTTTTTTTCGATCAGACTAATTTCGTACTTTTTTTTTTGAGTGACGTCACAGCTAGTCCTAATTATAAGACCTATACGTAACCTATTTCATATTTATCATTTATTAATCTGATATTTTACATTTTTCATTTTCCATGTTACGTTAAAAAAATTGACATTAGACATCGATTTAGATCTAATGAATTTAAACAATTAAAACAGCGTGTATTTACATTAATTTTGACCTATTTATGAACAAAACTAAAAAATAAATACCTTTAAACAAAATAATTGAACTGTCACAACCGAAAAGTCATGATTAAATCCTCTCAATTAATTAAATTCTTTGTACAGCTGATATACAAATGGCCGCCATACAGTGCGCGAAATCTGATTGGCTAATTCAAATGCAAGCGTTTAAATGATTCCAGAAGTTTCTAACGGAATATTTTTTCAACGAAATAATTGCCCATGCACCGTCAGTGTGTTCAAATATATTTTTCCGTTCAAAAAATTGGAATCAATCTGTAAAACGCTTTACTTAACCAGTATGGCCGATGAGCGAAATAGACTGATATTTATATTTTATTTTTTATTGATAAGTACATTGTTTGAAAGTTTTTGTTAATGATAGACCATGCAATTGAAATAACAGAAGATAAGCTTTGAATAAAGCTTGAAAGGCAAGTCAACAGACATTTTTTTAATTTTTCAAAATGCTACGCGTTTTTGAGCAATAACTATTAGACGTAAATATATGGATAAATAAACTACTTAACGCGAGTAATTTTAGCGTATTTTTACAGTTTTTGGGAAATATTTTTCCGTCTTTTATGCAATCAATTGCTTTTTGAGATAAATTTATAGCATTTAAGTTGTGATTTACCGGTAAATTCAAATAGACTCAAGAAGCGTGTCGGTTTGTGCTATGGGAAATTAGCCAGTTATGGAAAGACTTCGCATTTTCAGATAAACGTTAAACTGTAAAAAAAAAGAAAATGCGATGTCTTTCAATGAAGGAGTAGACATATACCCTAAAATAGACAATGTTGACCTTGAATGACCCTGGAGGTAGGGGTCTGGCTGTTGCGCATGACACATCGTCTTATTATAACAAACATTTGTGCCAAGTTATTTCAAATTCCTTTGATAAATGACAAAGTTATGGACCGGACACAAAAGTGCAATGGACGGATAGATGGACAGAGGGATGGAGCCTATTTCTATATCCCGCTTTTTTCTTGGAAAGGGCAGGGGACAAATCATTAAAGTGATCCCTTATGTCGCTGCTTTTTTGTAGCAGGAGACACAAAAATCACTCACTTGCCCACAGTTTTTACTGAACATTGATAATTTTGTGGACAATCTCCGTTTGTTGTTTCAAAAATGGGAGGGGTAATTACTATATAAAGTATTGCAATTTTATTACCCCATTTCTTACACTTTTTATCATTGTTCAACAGTTACTGTGTATTAGTACTTTAGTACTGCATTACTAATGGTGACAACAGTTTAGCTCTGTGATCGAGCAGGTGCCCGTTCAAGGTGACAATTACAGATAGTCTATCTTCAATTTCAAAAAAGTTCAACGAAAGCTTAAAACTTACAGTGTCTTTTCTGGGCCGCATTTATAGAAGCTGGAGCTGTCAAATTTTGTATTTGACTGCCAACTCTGCAAACTGCTTTAGCAACTTTAGCCACTGGACTTGCCATCGTTAATTCGCCCTTGCTTGAAGATACCGGCACCGGAAGTGAAAGGCAGTCTATTTACATGGGGATTTTTACACTGAATAATTAGATCCGGTTTGGTCAACAACCTTAAATTCAAGCTTTTGAAAACGGTTTTATTCTTATATAATTTCGCAATGAAATAACCCGGTAACAATATCATCGTATATCCAATTTTTATCTTGTTACAAAGGGAAAAGCCTGTGAAATTTTTTCCGCACCCTCTTCCAGAAATGGACTTAACCTCTTTCTGAATGACGTTGTTTTTCTTTGCGCGCTGATTGGCTAATTACAACCTTTCTCTTACGGAGTCCATCGTTTCCGTGGCAAGACCTTGAAGAAGTCTAGCCGTAGCTAAACTTTAGCCGAATGTGGCTGTAGTTCGATATAGTAAGTTTTTTCACTGGTTGTTTTCAATTCAATTTATTTAATTGCATTCCTTGTAAAATGCATTTATCCTGTCGCGAATCAGAATCACTGATTTCGGAGAGTTTGTAATCACTTGTCAACACAACTGACCTTCATATAACGGCTAGTACTAGTAATCATATGAGCAAAGGGTTGTTTAGATATGTGCAATGTTTGATATATTTGTTGCTCAATATTATGATAGAAAGGCATATGTTGCTATTATTTTGTGCATAAATACAAATTGCAATGTCAAAATTTAGTATCACTGTTTTGAACATGTGAACAACAGTTTCTAATCTGATTGGGTTACTGGCATGAAAAAGAAGTATCATCATGCATAGGTGCATTGGCATGAAAGTTATTTCCTTGTTTAAAAGCAGTAGCCTAATCATATTTTCATACTTTAAATGCTTTATATTTACCTACTGGTAGATCCTTTGATCATGTGATTGTGCAGACACATTAAAAGATTAAAGAAGTACATCTGGATGCAAGTTCGGTAGTATAAAGGTGCCTGAAAGTCATATATTCGTGGTACCATAATTCAGAAGTATTTGGCATAACTGTCTCATGTGCCTCCTAGACTTCACGAACCTGCTAAGAGTTTTACTTCCGCTTTCAGTTTCTTGTATTTTCATCAATATGAATATGTTCTGTATACGACTGAAAAAACTTAAGTATCTGCTTTATTCAGATGAAGAATAAAATGTATTTTTTTACCATTTCACTCTCAAGTTTTCATACCTTTTAAGACGATTGTCTTTCAAAGTAATTGACTTTGTTAAACACATTGAAATATTTGATAAATGGCATAGAGGAAATTTTCACCTGCAGATGAGGCTAGGTATAGATGTACTAAAAGTTAAAGGTAACTAGTGTTTTAAATTTTGCTTTTGAAACTGTCAAAGGTAATTGCCTTGGAAATATGACTCACTTGGCTGCAGATGTTTGCCACCATGCAACATGATGTTATGTACATGATTGCCAAATATAAACATTAAATGGAAAAACTATGAGGTAATTGACATGTCATGTCTCTTGACTTCCCTACTAGGGCTGTGCATTGCCATTTTTTTCTGTAACGATACATATCACGATACTTGTTTTTCTAAACGATGTGATTCACGATATGTATTGCATACTTTGAAAAAATGCGATGCATATTGCGATTCTTATGTTGCGATGCGATACGTATCACGATACTGACTTTCAGACTTAGTACATAAAATTTGGCCATTTGTTTACAGCATAATTACGAATATAATATAGAATTATTACAATAACAAAAAATAAACTCTTTAACTTGGTTTCTGATTTTGATCTTTCAACAATTTACTTTTCTGATTACTTAAGGAATAAAGGTATTGTTAATTATAACATAACAGCAAATTGATATACACTAGTCTAACACTAAAGACCTCTACTGTAAATATGACAGTTTAAAAATTTCAGTCTTACAATACACCACTAAAAAAATTTCTTGTGAAAAAATAGTAACAAGTGATTTACAGTTAGGTCAACAACTGTGAAAATAACAGTTAATCAGTTACTCTCTCATTTTTTCTCGAAAGATTTGTGCTCAACCCAGAGTATTTATTTTGAGTTTGCAAATTTTGCAAACACTCGATGTCCGTCTTCAACATTATACAACACTGTCTGTTGGTTCCCCAAAAACTACAATGTTCCCAAAACTCGTGAATTGTATGACCAGGGAGGATTAACTATAGTTTCTCCTAAATATTTTGCAGTCTACAGTCATGTTTTCTGTTTTTTTGTTTTGTTTTTTTTTACGGGAAAATGATGTCAACGGAAATGAAAGTATAAATACGTGACGAATATCACATGGGAATGTTGTCATCATCACTATTTTAATCCGACATCAAGTGCGACTAAATAAAATTACAAAATCATGTTTGTTGAAAACGCATAGATCTCTTATTATTTTTTTTTATTATAAACAAGTTCAAACAACACCAGCCCATTTATATAGAATTGATAAAACTTGGTTAGTTACCGTTAAATGATTGCGGACATGGGGAAACGAGATGACAACGATGATATGATAATAGTCGCGCTTGTTCATTGTTTTCATCCGAGCTATTTTTCTTTCTTCATTCTTTCAAAAAATATGTTTGTCCTTATATTCCTGGAAGATATTGTTAGTGTATTGCGATACTTCCCGCTGTATCGATACATCGGGAGGTGAAATCTGTATTGCATCGCAATATATTGGAATTTGTAATTTCATTACGAGGCATACATCGAGGACAAGGCAGATCGCGATGCATCGATGAATCGTTACACCTCTATTCCCTACAGACTAGTACAGTTAAATACAAAATTAATTTTAAGTTCTTCATTAATGTTAATTAATGTTGCATGGCTATTAATTTAATCTAATCAGGCTTGAGTATAATAGAGTTGTCCTATTATCACAAATTACTAGACAAATGACTGCATCTAGTTTACCCGCATTTTTTACAAATTCACAACCAATATGCATTGTTGTGATTTGTCAGTTATAACTGTTGTTTATTTTGAAGGAAAAAAAATGAAAATTCAGTAAACTTTTATGTAAATCTGAAAGAAATACCTTACTTTGTGAATGGTTAGTCCATTTATAAAGCTTCCCATATTAAAAGAATCTATTAACTATTCAATAAAAAACAAGTGTTTCCTCCATGAAGCCATTATATAGAATGAGGCAATTTGTAAACCTTAAACACATGTTAGAAATCTTGTGTCCTACTTTTAAAAAGAAATCTTGAAAACTGCAAGGTCAGTATGTGGAACTTGTTGTGAAAAGGACTTTTGACTGTATACTGATAAAAGGTGGCGTGCATCTCCCATGTAGGCTGAAAATATAGGTCAAATGTTTGTAGTAACATTGAGGTTCAAGTTTGAGCAGTAAATGTGGAACTTGTGAAAAGGACTTTCGACTGTATACTGATAAAAGGTGGCGTGCATCTCCCATGTAGGCTGAAAATATAGGTCAAATATTTGTAGTAACATTGAGGTTCAAGTTTAAGCAGTACATCTCCGTTGTTATTTTAATTGAATAGAAGTAATGATTATTTCATCTGTCAAAGAAAGATAAAAAAATTTAATACATGTAAGTGACTATCATTCCCACTTGAGACAAGAGTATATAACATTGTATAGGGTTTCGACAAAATTATGCCCCTTTTTTAGCTCGACTATTCGATAAGAATAAGTAGAGCTATTGTAGTCACCCGAGCGTCGGCGTAACCACTTATGTTAAAGTTTTTGTAATAGTTCAAATATTTTCAAAGTGCATTGACATATGGCTTTGAAACTTTGCACACTTGTTCACCATCATGACCCCAACCTGTAGACAGGAGGAGGTAACTCTATCAAGCATTTTGACAGAATTATGCCCCTTTTTCGACTAAGAATTTACGTTAAAGTTTTTGTAATAGTTCAAATATTTTCAAAATCCATAGACATATGGCTTTGAAACTTTGCACACTTGTTCACCATCATGACCCTAACCTGTAGACAGGAGGAGGTGACTCTATCAAGCATTTTGACAGAATTATGCCCCTTTTTCGACTTAGAATTTACGTTAAAGTTTTTGTAATAGTTCAAATATTTTCAAAGTCCATAGACATATGGCTTTGAAACTTTGCACACTTGTTCACCATCATGACCCCAACCTGTAGACAGGAGGAGGTAACTGTATCAAGCATTTTGAAAGAATTATGCCTCTTTTTCCACTTAGAATTTCTGTAAAGTTTTTGTAATAGTTCAAATATTTTCAAAGTCCATTGACATATGGCTTTGAAACTTTGCACACTTGTTCACCATCATGACCCCAACCTGTAAACAGGAGGAGATAACTGTATCAAGCATTTTTTTTACTATCAAGCACTAAGAATAGTCGAGCGTTGATGTCCTACCGACAGCTCTTGTTTTACTTTGAATGTTAGTACATTTTATGTACCACCAAACTTATTTCCTAAACACAGTATTACTTTGAAAATTTAAATATTTGTTAAAGAAGGCTTGTTAGTGACCATCATTCCCACTTACAGACAAGAGGATATATCTTTGTAGTAGATTTTGATGATTTTAAAATTATTATTTTCTTTTTCAATTTTGAATTTTCATTTGTTGTTTTTAATCTGATTTTCCACAGGAAAAAAAAACTGGTTATTAGATTGAGTTACAAAATGTTTGTCGGCAAGTGGGCGTTAACAATTTCGTATGTGAGCAACTGCCTACATTTTGCATGTGATTTTGACCAGACTTTGGTGTTTTACAGAAGCTTTGTCAACAATTGCCCTGCACATATTGTCAGAGCTTTTTGTTTTGATAATTTTTGATCTTATTATGGCCCTATGTTTTGTTTTCATTATATGGAATATGTAGTGAACAATCTCTTCTGTGCGCAACTCCTCAATTCTTAAGGGATTTTGACCAAACTTTCACAAAGCTTTGTGGCATTTAGACAAGGGACATAATTCCTAAAGCAATATTTTGGAGTTCTGTCCCATTTTAACTTGTAATTTTAATAGACAAGCCTTTGCACGGCATGCTGTTCTCTTGTAAACTTATGAAAATTTGTTATTAACAGACAACTGTAAACACCCAGTGCAGTGCTCTTGTTTAAATTGAAGTGTGCTCTAATCTTTAATTAAGAAGTTTACTAGCCAACTCTTTGTCATTTAAGTAAATCAAACATATATATATTTTGAAGTGTATTTAAAGAAATCAACAATTCTGATTAATGTTTGTTTTTGGTTGTTTTCTTTTCTTTTTTTTTTGAAAAAAAAAACAAACAAAAAAACCCCAAAACAACAACATTCCAACAATCATTCTGAGAAAAAAAAATGGATTTAAAAAGAATGGATTTTAAAAGAATATAATATAACTAGATTGTTTTTTGTTGTGTCGCCTCTACGGAGTAGTGGCGACATATAGGGATCACTTCTCCGTCGTCTGTCCGTCTGTCTGTCTGTCTGTCCGTCCGTCACAAAACTTGTCCGGACTACTCCTCATAAACTACTGGTGCAATTTCATCCAAACTTTACAGGAATGATCAGTACCAAGTCTAGTTGTGCATATTGTCAGGATTTTCCGGTTCAATGATTTTTGTCAGAGTTATGGCCCTTTAATAATTTTTAATTTTAAAGTTTGTCCGGACTACTTCTCTTATACCACTAATGCAATTTCAATGAAACTTTACAGGATTGATCTGTAGCTCAAGTCCTTGCGCATATTGCACGGGTTTTCCGGTTGAATGATTTTTGGCCGAGTTATGGCCCTTTGATAAAAAGGTTTCTTTTTCTGTGTGTTGCCAGATACACAAAAGCTTGTCTGGACTACTCCTCATAAACTACTGGTGCAATTTCATCCAAACTTTACAGGAATGATCAGTACCAAGTGTAGTTGTGCATATTGTCAGCATTTTCCGGTTCAATGATTTTTGGCAGAGTTATGGCCCTTTAATAATTTTTATTTTTAAAGTTTGTCCAGACTACTTCTCTTATACCACTTATGCAATTTCAATGAAACTTTACAGGATTGATCTGTAGCTCAAGTCCTTGCGCATATTGCACGGGTTTTCCGGTTGAATGATTTTTGGCCGAGTTATGGCCCTTTGATAAAAAGGTGTTTTTTCTGTGTGTTGCCAGATACGCAAAAGCTTGTCCGGACTACTCCTCATAAACTACTGGTGCAATTTTATCCAAACTTTACAGGAATGATCAGTACAAAGTGGTTAGTCTAGTTGTGCACTGTCCGTCTGTCTGTCCGTCTGTCACAAAATTTGTCCCAACATGAAATTGGCCATAATGAGGCGACACATGTGATTACTGATCGCTCTTGTTTATTTCAGGTAGGAAACACCACATTTAAAACAGCCATGCTGCCAAGGCTAAAATCTGCTGCCATTTTGGCTGACTTGGGCTGCCATGTACAGAAACTGTCTATCCGCTGTAGCCGTGGCTTCAAAAATGCTCCGAGAAATTTCTGCCAGAAAGTTGAGGAGAAAGTTGTTGCAGGCACGCCATACAATAAAATTTCTGTTGGTGTGCCAAAAGAAATGTTCCCAAATGAAAGAAGAGTTGCCATTTCCCCTACCGCAGTACAGTTGCTTACAAAAAAAGGATTTAATGTAAATATAGAAGAAGGTGCAGGAGTAGAATCAAAATTTACAAATGAAGAATTTGCTGCTTCTGGGGCAAACATTAAAAAACGAGAGGACACTTACAAATCTGATATAGTATTAAAAGTTAGACCTCCTTTAGAATCTGAAGTTCCTCTATTGAAAGAGAATGGTATTCTTATTAGTTTATTATACCCACAACAAAATGCAGACCTAGTGAAAAAGATCAGTGACAGAAAGGTGACATCATTTGCAATGGACAAAGTGCCAAGAATATCAAGGGCTCAAGTTTTTGATGTATTGTCTTCAATGGCAAATATATCTGGATACAAAGCTGTTATAGAGGCAGCAAATAACTATGGCAGATTTTTTAGTGGTAAGATTTTTGTCTTATTGATATACTGTAGATTTATGTATTTGGACAGGTAATAAATTTCTTGACAATTTGCTACATGTTTTCATGTTTTGTCAAATAAACATGTTCATATGCATCTTTAATAAAAAAAACACTTGAAATAATTTGTTTATGATTGTAAATGCTTGTGTTTTTATGCAGACAAACATTTTACACATGCTATAATAAATTGATAATATTCTAGAACTGTAAACTGTAACTTGCATTATTGTAATTCTGTTAAAGAACTGGTGGGGTTTTTGGTGTGGATTATTTGTGGGATATTTCATTAAAATGGTTCATTGCCATTTGAATATTCTTTCATCTTTGAATTTATTGAGTATGTAAATTGTTGCTTGAAATATTAATTTTGTTACTATGGTATCATGACAGATATTTTGTATAAATCAGGTCAGATAACAGCTGCTGGTAAAGTTCCTCCTGCTAAGATTTTCATCATTGGTGGTGGTGTAGCTGGTTTAGCAGCTGCCGGAGCTGCCAAGAATCTTGGTGCAATCACCAGATTATATGATGTCAGACCTGCAGTGAAAGAACAAGCAGAATCCCTCGGAGCTGAGTATCTTGAAGTCTCAGTCAAGGTTAATTGCTTTTGTTCTAAAACTCTAAAAAACAGAATTTCAGGCAATTATTTTAGAATTGTGATACATATTATTGTTGCCTTTTATTATTGCATAGGTAGATGCTTCCTCGTGTCTTCTGCAAAGATTAATGTAATGGAAAGAGAAAAAATTCCTGGAACTTTTAAAAACACAGACCTTTATCAGGAAATCAATGAAATGACTTATGATTCTATAAACATGATACTTGCTTATGTAAAATAGTTCAAAATAATAAGAAATTACTTGCTTATGTAAAATAGTTCAAAATAATAAGAAATTACTTGCTTATGTAAAATAGTTCAAAATAATAAGAAATTACTCTGATGGATCTTCCTATACAATTATGTTCTTATTATTACTGATTTCGGTTCAATACTAGTTATATTTTTTTACTGACATTGTTATATATGTATGCAACAGGAATCTGGTGCTGCAGCTGGTGGTTATGCCAAAGACATTAAAGAGATGTCCTCAGACTTCCAGGATGCTGTTAAAAACTTGTATGCCAAACAATGCAAGGAGGTGGATGTCATCATTACAACAGCTCTTATACCTGGCAAGAAAGCACCAATACTCATTACCAAGGTAATTCAATCAACTTTCTTTGCTTAACATAGTGTTAGTACTTTTAAACCATTCTATAATTATACCTGCAGCCTCAGTGAACTTTTTGAAAATGCTAAAATTAACATTCTTTTAGAATTACTTATGAAAAATAATATCAAAACAATGAATGAAATCAACAAGAAATTTGGAATACTTGTTTATCATCATATGATATAAAAGTGAGACAAGGAGCATTGTGCTGAAAGTATTTTGGAATATTTAAATTAAAATATTTAAAAGTTATGCCCCTTTTGACTTAAAATGTTCAAAAAAAAATTTAACGGATGAGTGAAATGGAAATATCTGATAACAATTTGAATTTACAAGGTGAGCACGCAAGCAAGTATGTAAGCCATGTCTACAAGGCATAAACATTTATTTCCAAGTTTGTGTGTTAAATAAGGGTTTGCTTGATAAACCCCATCTTTACTGGAATCAAATGTACACCTGAGCCATAAGTCTTCTCTTTATTTTAAACTATAATTTCAAGTTTTTCCACAGATAAGATTAAAAAGGGTTAAACACAAGTTGATTTGTATTAAAGTAATGGGACAAAACAAACACAAAAAACAAAAAGGCAACAACAAGGAGATTGTGTATTGTAAATCTATGAGGAAATAGTCACAGGTTTCTTTGTTTAATCTATATTTCCCTGTTTCAAAATATATTAATTAATCTGTCTATCAGCAAAATCAGTCTTTGCTTCAGCTGTGTTTTACACAAACAAACAAGATCCTGAAAGGAACTCCACTAAAGTCCAAAAGCTGAAAAGCATGAAATTTAAAATTCTTACATAGATCAACTAGGTCACTTGAAATGGAATATATGCAAAGATAATGAAGAAATATATTCAGAATTTAATTGAAAATTTATATTACTGTGATTCTTAGAATGCTTCAGTTTAGGGTCATTTTGCATAATATAAACGATTTGCCTGGAGAAACAGTGAGCCAATGATCTGAAATTCTACACACCTGGCCTTTGTGAACTTTGAAGGTATTGGTCTAGATTAAATGTTACACAAATCTGGAATAATATATTATTTCCAGTCCCATCAGATCAGAAATCCTATTTAAACCTTTGCTATGCCATCATCCTTGATTCCTTTTTCAAAGCTGTAATGTTACGGAACGTCGGTGGTTCTACTCAGGTGCCCGTTCGTGCCTGAAATAATGCACGGAAGGGCACCTGATGTCTTCCTCCACCAGTAAAGCTGGAACGTCGCGATATGACCTTTACTGTGAGTGTGTTGATGTGACGTAAAACCCAAAACAAACAAACAAACAAAGCTGTAATGATTAAATTCATTAATAAATACATGTATATGGGAATATATACCCAAATTAAATTCTGCAATATATTGCAGCACAGTTTTTTATGGCAATATACCCACCCCTACTGCTTAGGTTTTATTTTTACATGTTGATAATACCTGAATGAATACATCTGAAATTTAATGTTATAACTTTATGTGTAGGAAATGATAGAGACAATGAAACCTGGTTCTGTTGTGGTAGATTTAGCTGCGGAGGCAGGTGGAAATATTGAGACAACAAAACCAGGAGAATTATACAAATACCATGATGTTACACATATAGGATATACAGATTTGCCTAGTCGATTACCTACACAATCTAGTACATTGTATGGGAACAACATTACCAAACTTCTGCTCTCAATGGGTATGTTCTTTGTTTATATGATGTGTACTTTCAGTTAAGGTTAAATCTTATTGATTTCATCAACTTCATCTAATAGGGCTCTAGCTAGACTATAATGCCATGTAGTTTGGGTCATTCCCTGAAGCTAGAGGTTTGTTAATTTTGCCTGATATCCGTTTATTGTCAAAGTTGTTATAGTGGTGAATGGCCATAATAGTAAGTAAGTAAGTAATGGCTTTATTTATCGAGGCTACACATTTGGTTTCCCAATCTTCCATGTGGGCCTCTAAAAAAATTTTACAGCAAAAAAATAATAAACATGAAGCTTGCAAAAAAAAATGTTCTTGGAACTTAATTTTAAATTTTACAGTTTGTATGACAAAAGATTGCTGAAATAATTCAAGTTGTGGTGTGATGAATTTATTAAAAAAAATCAAAGTAATGTTTTAAATCATAGGTGAGAAGGACCACTTTAATGTAAACCTTGAAGATGAGGTTGTTCGAGGCTGTATAGTCACACAAAATGTAAGTCAACCATTCTGTAATAATTCTTTGTTTCATAATAGAGACTTCATCTAGAGCTTACATGTATATGATTGAATCAGATATAAACTTCCAGAGTTATACCCCTTGAACTTGGATTTATTTTAATAAAAATTGTTATTTTTTGCTCTTATTTCTTTGTTTTTGCTCTTTATTTTTGAAAGGATTTTCTTTAAACTTATTCAAGTTTCATAACAACTCCCATATTATAATAATATGACAAGGTTTATAACTCTCTCATTCTATGATCAGATTTATCATAAATTATGACAGTTGACATAATTTAATGGTTTGTTGATGGTATAACAGGGTGAGATACTTCCACCAGCTCCACCCCCGCAGCTTGATGCTGCCGTAGAAGCTAAACCAAAAGCTGTAGGAATTCCTCCACCCCCTCCAGTTGATCCTAAAACCAGAACTTTTAATACAGCTTTGAGATACACAGGTGGTCTAGGAACAATGTTAGCCCTCGGGGCTGTATCACCTAACCCAGCATTTACTACCATGGTCACAACATTTGGACTTGCTGGAATCACAGGTAAAATATTTGATCATGGTCAATAGTTGTACATTTCGATTAAGCAATTAAAAGACTTGCATTTATGTTTTATGTCAATTCTGTTTATAATTTTATGGTATAAATGTATATGGTTTGATTGTGGTAGAGGTTTTATTTAGGTTTTCTTACATTAACAGAAACGTGATAGCCGATGATTCATTAGAATCAAGGTTAAAAATTGATGATTACATATTTTTCTTAATACTTATGTCATCCATTTTAACCAGACAATAAAATATACATTTATGCATCAACCTGATCACATTGTCAATTATAAGACCAATTTTTATAATGGTCATTTTAATTTTATATTAACCAAAGTGTTTTAAAATGTTCATCAGACCTTGCAGATTTATACAGATTTATACAGATATTGAATATTTCAGGTTATTATACTGTGTGGAATGTCACCCCAGCACTTCACTCACCACTTATGTCAGTGACAAATGCCATCTCTGGTATCACAGCTGTAGGAGGCATGTTACTGATGAGTAAAGGTTACACACCAACAAACACTATAGAATCTCTGGCTGCCGTAGCTTGCTTCATCTCTAGTATTAATATAGGTGGTGGCTTTACTGTCACTCAGAGAATGTTGGACATGTTTAGAAGACCAGGTAACATTGCACTTGATTAAATTATTCATTTAACTTTTTCCTGCCAATTTTACTTGCTCTGAATATAGAAATGCTTGTTGTCCATTTCTGGGAATTAAGATCCCAGGTCTATCTTTTTCTTGCTCTGTTTTTAGCTCACCTGAGCATATGCTCAGGGTGAGCTATTAGGATCACTCTTCGTCCGTCGTCTGTCGTACGTTGTCCGTTCACACTTTTCAAACGACATCTCCTCTGAAACCATAAGGCAGATCATAATGAAACTTCACAGGGATGTTCCTTGTGTGAAGCCTTAACAAAGTTGTTCAAAGAATTCCATTCCATGCAGAACTCTGGTTGCCATGGCAACCAAAAGAAAAAACTTTAAACATCTTCTTCTAAAATACCCAAAGAGCTAGAGCTTAGATATTTGGCATGAAACATCTTCTAGGGAGTGTCTACCAAGATTGTTCAAATAAAATCCCTGGGGTCAAAATTGGCCCCGCCCCAGGGGGTCATTGATTTTCCCTATATGCATATAGTAAAAACTTAAAAAAATCTTCTTCTAAAGAACCCAAAGAGCTAGAGCTAAGATATTAAGCATGAAACATCTTCTAATGAGTGTCTACCAAGATTGTTCAAATGAAAGCCCTGGGGTCAAAATTGGCCCCGCCCCAGGGGGTCATTGATTTTCCCTATATGCATAATATTTGCATATAGTAAAAACTTAAAAAATCTTCTTCTAAAAAACCCAAAGAGCTAGAGCTTAGATATTTGGCATGAAACGTGTTCTAATGGATGTCTACCAAGTTTGTTCAAATAAAAGCCCTGGGGTCAAAATTGGCCCCGCCCCTGGGGGTCATTGATTTTCCCTATATGCATATAGTAAAAATTTAAAAAATTTTCTTTTAAAGAACCCAAAAAGCTAGAGCTTAGATATTTAGCATGAACATCTTCTAATCAGTGTCTACAAAGTTTGTTCAAATAAAAGCCCTGGGGTCAAAATTGGCCCCGCCCCAGGGGGTCATTGATTTTCCCTATATGCATATATTAAAAACTTAAAAAATCTTCTTCTAAAAAAACCAAAGAGCTAGAGCTTAGATATTTGGCATGAAACATGTTCTAATGGATGTCTACCAAGTTTGTTCAAATAAAAGCCCTGGGGTCAAAATTGGCCCCGCCCCTGGGGTCATTGATTTTCCCTATAGGCATATAGTAAAAACTTAAAAAAATTTCTTTTAAAGAACCCAAAAAGCTAGAGCTAAGATATTTAGCATGAAACATCTTTTAATCAGTGTCTACAAAGTTTGTTCAAATAAAAGCCCTGGGGTCAAAATTGGCCCCGCCCCAGGGGGTCATTGATTTTCCCTATATGCATATAGTAAAAACTTAAAAAAATTTCTTTTAAAGAACCCAAAGAGCTAGAGCTAAGATATTTAGCATGAAACATGTTCTAATGGATGTTTACCAAGTTTGTTCAAATAAAAGCCCTTGTGTCAAAATTGGCCCCGCCCTAGGGGGTCATTGATTTTCCCTATATTGCATATAGTAATTAAAAACTTAAAAATCTTCTTTTAAAGAACCCAAAAAGCTAGAGCTAAGATATTTAGCATGAAACATGTTCTAATGGGTGTCTACCAAGTTTGTTCAAATAAAAGCCCTTGGGTTAAAATTGGCCCTTCCAGGGGGAGGGGGGAGGGGGGTCAAAAGTCATTGTTTTTCATTATTTGTGTATAGTAAAAACTTAACATCATGAAACATCTTCTAATGGGTGTCTTCCAAGTTTGTTCAAATAAAAGCCCTTTGGTTTAAACTGGCCCCGCCCTGGGGGCCTTTGTACAGGTGAGCGACCCCAGGGCCATCATGGCCCTCTTGTTGGGTAACAGTACCTGTAGGAGGGGAAGTTTTCACATTGTTTTCCGGTGTATGGGTAATGTAAGGCAAGATTTGTCACAATACTCATGATGCTGTATTACATTTAATGACTTTGTTCTGCAAAAAGCAAATTTTATATGGATATTGTTAAGGGTTTCCTGCTTTAAGCAGATGTAACTGATGTAGGGAGTAAAAATAAAATATAATTTATGGCAAGTTTTCTTAAAATAAGGGATAAATGCATACTTTTTTTGGAGGAATAACGTGCTTAATTTTGACACCAAAATGCTTTGGATTAGAGTTTTGTAATGAAAATGTCATCACCTTGAAGTTCTGCCTGTCTTGGTTCACTAATGATGGATTTGATAGCTTTGGCTTCATTTGAAATACTAGTAATAAGTTGTGTTGAAATGAATGTACATATGTACTTATTTTTTGTTTCTAGATGATCCGCCGGAGTACAACTATTTCTATGCCCTGCCTGGTCTTGCTACACTGGGAGGGTATGGTGCACTAGCAACATCTGGTTCATACCCTGACATTCATCAGATGACTTACTTTGCTGCATCTCTATGCTGTGTTGGTGCCCTAACAGGTCTTTCTTCACAGACAACATGTCGCTTGGGTAAGTTATAATTCTAATTATGTTACATTCTACTATGTTGGTGCCTTGACGACCTTTCCTCATTGACAACATGCCGCTTGGGTAACAGACATACATCAAAACTAGGGTTATAGTACTTCAAAGTACTTGCCAACTTATAAAATACCAGTACTAGATTTTGGGTCCGTACTGTAGTACCAGTACTCTTATTTTGAAAATTATAAAGTACCAGTACTTGATATCTTCATATTTTCAGTATTTTCACTTATAGTTGTAAGTTATATATTTGATACTTTTACATTCTGTTCATAGCATTTAAAGTTATTATGCTGGGTAATGGGCTGAAAGGTTTATTATTCCATCTTTTACGATTGGGCAAGCAACTTTCCAGGCAGTGGAGTATCTATTGCTAGAAAATATTGTGTAGGCTCAAGACTTTCTCCTCCATTTTAGCAGGAAATTTGTCATACTATGACAATAATGTATTTTTGTTTATTTCAGGAAATGCCCTTGGTATGATTGGTGTGTCATCTGGTATTGCAGCTACAGTTGGGCTCCTTGCACCAACACCAGAATCTTTCGCACAGATGGCAGCTTGTATTGGCACAGGTATTTACATTTGATACATATTATTTTTAGGTTCTGTTTATCAATTGATGTGTGTTGTAAAAAGATAATGAGTATGTAATGAAATTTAATGAGAATCAAGCTATATCAAGTGAAATATATTTATAAACTTTATAAAAAGAAAAACTATGTTGTTTCTTTAATATTATGATTGATTTTCAAAAGTGATGCATCAAAGAGTGACTCTGTTACTTAATGCACATTAATATTGTATGTAAACATAATAAAATATTGAGGAACAAAATATAATGTTGCTATTTTAGGGAGTTTTAACCACTTACTAACAATTTTGTGCATTAGCCATGGCTTTTAAGAAAATATACCAACATACTTTCATATAAAGATATATTGAGTGTTATTTATTAAAATTCAAACACTACAGCAGGAGATAAATAGCTTTATAGACTTTTCCTGTTAAGTTTATAATCAGTATTTTGTTTACAGGAGGTATAATTGGTGTTATTGGTGGTAAGAAGGTAGAAGTGACTGATCTACCTCAGATGGTGGCATTGTTTCACAGTCTTGTAGGCGCTGCAGCTGTTGTCACTTGTATTGCAAACTTTATGCATGAGAACCCACATTTTGCCACTGACCCGGCTGCTAATGTTATGAAGACAGCTCTGTTTTTGGGTACTTACATTGGTGGTGTCACCTTCACTGGATCTCTTGTTGCTTTTGGCAAGCTTCAAGGTAATTTCTTATTAATTTTGTGTCTTAAATTAAAACTTCCCAAATCATTTTGCTGAATCTTAGTAAGCTATTGTAAAAGGTAGTTAAAGACTTGGCTCCGAATTACAAAAAGTACATTTTCTTAACATTTCTTTGTGAATTATATTTCTTGCTGTTATATATGTAATTGAATTAAACCTAGGTTATCAAATTTGCCAATTATCTTATATTGAAGTCAAACCGACTGGATTTGAAGATTTAGTGTTATTTCAGGAACATTGAAATCAAACCCACTCTTGTTGCCTGGAAGACATGCAATGAATGCAGCAATGTTGGCAACTAATATTGGAGCATATGGATATTTCATGATGGATAATGCATATGCTAGTGGTCTAGCTATGCTTGGAACAACTACCACATTGTCCAGCATTATGGGAGTAACACTAACAATGGCTATTGGGGGTCAGTATATTTTATCTTATTTATTTACAACCACATGTTTATTTACAACCATTTATTTATCTACATGCTGAGATAATGCAGTATTTATATTTTTATGGCCCCGGCATATAGTCTATCTGCCTGTCTATCCATATGCGGTTAACATTTGTCTGTATCAAACACAGGTTCTTGTTTATCTGAGAAGTTGAAATGAAGATATTATGTACAGACATTTTATTTGAACTTACAGAGCTAAACTACAAATGTATGTTTGAGACTGGTGAGAAAACAGAGTGATATGAATTGATCAATGGTGTAATTCTATGGTCACTTCTCAATTTTGTCTGCACCAGTATAGAGTCAGATTGCCAATAATAGTTTAGATTATGCCATTGAGAGTATGAGCAACAAATTATGTCCATGCATGCAGTATAGTTAGTCCAGCCACATATTAGTGCAGTCAGGTCATACATATTTAAGTGCTCAAATTTATATTGTTTGATATTAAAATCCCTAAACGTCACATGTGACAAATTCTAAGTAAGATAGTCATCACACTAATTCAGCAGGATAAAGGGAAATAATTGGTTTTAACATATTGTGCAATCAACAAAAGCATTGTTAGGTTATTCATATTACCAAGTCCCTCCCCTAATCATATTGCACCTCTTCAAAAGTGCTTGGAACAGCAAGTAAGTGTTAATGCTGAGTAAGCCTTTAAAATATAAAGAATTTAGCAAATTTCAATTTTATTGTTGAACTGATATTTAAATTCAAGCTGGAAGTACTCCATAACTGTAGCGTTCTATTTGTAGGTGCTGACATGCCAGTAGTTATCACTGTATTGAACAGTTACTCAGGATGGGCACTATGTGCAGAAGGTTTCATGTTGAACAATAATCTAATGACAATTGTTGGAGCAATGATTGGATCTTCTGGAGCCATTCTGTCATACATTATGTGCAAGGTTAGTAAACAGGCATTGTGACAATGTAACTTCAAATCAAACAACAGCATTTAAACCAGGTTTTATAAGCTTGATGTATGTTTTTTGGCAGTGTTTGGGGAGATACAATTTCTTCTAGGGGCAACCATTCCTACATTTCACAAGGGATTTCAACCACTATGATTTTTATATGCCCAAAGACCTTTAGGACTATTTTGGGTGATTATGTTTATATTTGGCATGCATGTTATATCAAAACTCAGGTCAAGTTCAATTTTCTGCTGCAAGCAACTTACAACAATAAAATTGCTTTCTCTTTAAGGCACATTTTTGTCCACAATACCTTCTTGCAAATTTGCCATATTGTCCCACTGCAGAGTGCACTGGTGCATATTGGCAGAATATTTCTCATTTTTGCAGTATAGTATCAAGCTTTTTTCGGTTCATTTTGGGGTGTTTCTTTTCTTTTTCATGTTATGTGATTTTTGTGACTTGCTAACTATTAAGTTGATTTTAGGTTATACAGAATTTATTTTAATTATCCCCCGCCGAAAAGGCGGCGGAGGATATAGAAATAGTCTCCGTCCGTCCGTCCGACCTTCCGTCCAACATTTTTGTCCGGAGCATATCTCTAAAAGTATTTGAGTTATCAACTTGAAACTTCATAGGTGGATAGACCTCATTGAGGAGGAGTGCAGTGCACAAGAATGATAACTCTACCCTGCATAATTTTTGAGTTACTGCCCTTTGTTATTTTTCAAAATTGATTTTTGTTCAGAGCATAACTCCAAAAGCCTATGAGATATCAACATGAAACTTCATAGGTGCATATATCTCACTCAGGAGGTGTGCAGTGCACAAGAATGATAACTCTACCTTTCATATTTTTTGAGTTATTGCCCTTTGTTATTTTTCATACTTAATTTTTCACCTGAGTGGAGCAAAACTCAAAAAGTTTTTGAGATATCAACATGAAATGTCATAGTTGGATAGATCTTATTGAGGAGGAATGTTGTGCGCAAGAATGATAACTCTTCCCTATACAATTTTTGAGTTATTACCCTTTGTTCTTTTTCATGCTATTTTGTCCAGAGCTTATCTCAAAAAGTATTTGAGTTATCAACTTGAAACTTCATAGGTGGATGGATCTCATTGAGGAGGAGTGCATTGCACAAGAATGATAACTCTACCCTACATTATTTTTGAGTTATTGCCCTTTGTATCTTTTCAAAATTAATTTTTGTCCAGAGCATAACTCAAAAAAGCCTTTGAGATATCAAAATGAAACTTCATAGGTGCATAGATCTCACTCAGGAGGTGGGCAGTGCACAAGAATGATAACTCTACCTTTCATAATTTTTGAGTTATTGCCCTTTGTTATTTTTCATACCTAATTTTTCACCCGAGTGGAGCATAACTCAAGTGTTTGAGATGTCAACATGAAATGTCATAGGTGGATAGATTTTATTGAGGAGGAATGCTGTGCACAAGAACGATAACTCTTCCCTGTACAATTTTTTAAGTTATTGCCCTTTGTTCTTTTTAGTCCCCTACCGGTTTACCGGAGGGGACTTTAGGTTTACCCTCTGTCCGTCCGTCTGTCCGTCAGTCCGTCCGTCCGCAAAACTGGATCCCGCGATAACTTGAAAAGTACTGAAAATATTTTTATGAAACTTGGTATATGGATAGATGGCAGTATGGAGATTATGCACGTCTTTTTCTTTTCTTCCTATGTAAAATTCTGGTTGCTATGGCAACAAATAGGCTGAAAATATGGCAAATTTTACACATAAACTTGATCCAGTGATAACGCAAAAAGTACTGGAAATATTTTTATGAAACTTTTCATATGGGTAGATGACAGTCTTGAGATTATGCACGTCTTTTTCTTTTCTTCCTATGTTGAAAATTCTGGTTGCTATGGCAACAAATAGGCTGAAAATATGGCAAATTTTACACATAAACTGGATACAGTGATAACGCAAAAAGTACTGGAAATATTTTTATGAAACTTGACATATGGGTAGATGGCAGTCTTGAAATTATGCACGTTTTTTTCTTTTCTTCCTATGTTGAAAATTCTGGTTTCTATGGCAACACATAGACTGAAAATATGGCAAATTTTACACATAAACTGAATCCAGTGATAACTCAAAAAGTACTGGAAATATTTTTATGAAACTTGACATATGGGTAGATAGCAGTCTTGAGATTATGCATGCCTTATCTGTTCTTCCTATTTTGAAAAAATATCAGTTGCCTTGGCAACAAATAGGCTTAAAACATGGCAAATATAACAATATTTGTGATTAGTCAAAAAGAGCTGAACATTTTTATGAAATTGCATCTTTAATTCAAGAGCAATCTCCTCTTTAAGAATTTTGCTTTTAAAAATGTTATATTTTGGTAACAGGGATGTTTCAAATATTAACTTTAGAGTGTCTTTGAGTCCGTCTGTCTGTCTGTTTATAAAAACTGTATCCTGTGATCACTTTTAAAGAACTTTTCCAACAAATTTTTTTTAAAATAGAGAAAAATTGAAACATTAGTGAATGGCCAATGGCCCTTCAGAATGTTGATGGGGTTCTAACCAGTAGGGGACTTATGGATTGCTTGCAATACTATGATAATTGCTTGTTCATACTATTTTGTCCGGAGCTTATCTCAAAAAGTATTTGAGGTATCAACTTGAAACTTCATAGGTGGATGAATCTCATTGAGGAAGAGTGCAGTTCACAAGAACGATAACTCTACCCTGCATAATTGTTTAGTTATTGCCCTTTTTTTAGCTCTACTATTCGAAGAATATGAGAGCTATTGTAGTCGCCCCGGCGTCGGCGTCAGCGTCCGCGTCGTCTGCGTTGGTTAAAGTTTTTTGTAAAGTCAAATATCTCAATTATTGCTTGAGATATTCAATTGAAACTTACAATACTTATTTATAGTAACAAGGTACATCAGATCGACAAGTTGGATAACTCTATCTACAATATTGCCAGAATTATGCCCCTTTTTAACTTAGAAATTTTGGTTAAAGTTTTTTATAAAGACAAATAATTATCTCAATTATTGTTTGAGATATTCAATTGAAACTTACAATACTTATTAATAGTAATAAGGTACATCAGATTGACAAGTTGGATAACTCTGCCTACAATATTGACAGAATTATGCCCCTTTTTAACTTAGAAATTTTGGTTAAAGTTTTTGTAAAGACAAATATCTCAATTATTGCTTGAGATATTCAATTGAAACTTACAATACTTATTTATAGTAACAAGGTACATCAGATTGACAAGTTGGATAACTCTGCGTACAATATTGACAGAATTATGCCCCTTTGAAAATTTTGGTTAAAGTTTTTTTGTAAAGTCAAATATCTCAATTATTGCTTGAGATATTCATTTGAAATTTACAATACTTTTTTATAGTAACAATGTACATCATTTTGCTAAATTGCATATCTCTGTCTGCAATATTTGCATAATTATTTGCCCCTTTGAAACTTAGAGATTTTGGTTAAAGGTCTTCAAAGATATTTACTTGAAACTTTACACATGTACTTAGGGTTATAATTTGAGGGTCATAATTGTATGTCACTGACCAAGTTCCATAACTCTATCTTGCATTAAGGCTGATTCATATCCCCTTTTCTACTTAGTCTCTTGGTTAATGTTTACATGCAAGTTTTACATATCTCAATAACTATTAAAGATATTTATTTAAAACTTCACATATGCATTTAGGGTCAGAATTGTAGGTCACTGACAAAGATCCATAATTCTATCTTGCATTTAGGCTGATTTTTCTGCCCTTTTTCAACTTAAAAAATTCATGGTAAAGTTTTGCTTGTAAGCTGTTATCTCCATAACTACTGATGGGTTTGTGCCTTTTTTGGGACAATTTTATGCATTCGTAATAATAAAGCAGTGATTTACTTGATAAAACATCTTAATAACAAGCCTTTGTACCTTTTCTGTCAATTTTATGTATTCGTAGGTAATTAGTATTATTATACTCAATAAAGCACCCTTGTGACATTACCTTCCAAATAGTCAAGCCAATACTGTATAATTAGACTCTCTCTAAGACCTATAACATGAATTTATAAAAAAAAATTAGCCCTTTTGTGAACTTAAAAAATTTAACATTATCAAGGCTCTTTTACTATCAAGCACTTAGAATATTCGAGCTTGCTGTCCTACCGACAGCTCTTGTTATTTTTCAAAATTAATTTTTGTCCAGAGCATAATTCAAAAGGCCTTTGAGATATCATTATGAAACTTCATAGGTGCATAGATCTCACTCAGGAGGTGTGCAGTGCACAAAAATGATAACTCTACCTTTTATAATTTTTGAGTTATTGCCCTTTGTTATTTTTCATACTTAATTTTTCAATTCAATTTTTTTTCTCAAAAAGTATTTGAGGTATCAACTTGAAACTTCATAGGTGGATAGATTTTACTGAGGAGGGATGCAGCACACAAGAATGATAACCTACCCTGCATTATTTTTCAGTTATTGCCCTTTGTTATTTTCAGCCATCAGTATTCACATAGGTTTCAAATCTGTAATCACTATAGCCATCAGTTTTCATTACCAAAAGACCTCTTAAAATGGAATTATTCTGCTCTACTACATATACATTCTTCAAATGAGCAAACACATTCGGCGGGGGATGGCCATGTTGACATGGCTCTTGTTTGATTAGTTTTAAACTAAAAGAGACACTTTCAAATCCATTCCTGGAACAAACTGGTACTAAGCACTGCTTGTAAGGTTAATTGCTTAACAAAAAAAATGTTTCCCCAATGGGGTTTGAACCCATTTTGCCAACAATCATTAGATTTCTAGTCCAACATGCTTGCCACACAGTCACACCAATACCATTTTACGAAAAATGTTCAGCTTTCTATGGTTTAACTGCTGTTATATATTTGTGAAAATTAGGCTGTTTTGTTTTAGTGTTTTATTCTAATAAACAAGAATATTCTGATAAATCTAAATACATGTATATGGTTTCATAAGTCTAAATGTGTCAATAAATATTTGCATAAATATTGTTTATAAAGTTTCACTTGTGATATTTACTACCTTTTATAGAAGATTTTTACTCAAGTAGACAATAGTTCTTGTGCAGCACTCACCCTTTGTGTTATATTCAATATTAAGGTATCAATTTTGATGTGAGAATTGTTTGATATCATGTAGATTGTTAATTACAGGCCATGAACAGATCTCTAACCAATGTCATCTTGGGTGGTGCCAACATCGGAACAAAGTCACATGCTGGAGGTAAACCCATGGAGATAACTGGTACCCACACAGAATGTGATGTTCCTATCTGTACAGAATACATAGCAAATGCTAAAAACATCATCATTGTGCCAGGATATGGTCTCTGTGTTGCCAAGGCACAGTATCCTATTGCTGAAATGGTAGACTTCTTAAGGAAGAAAGGAAAGAATGTGCGATTTGGAATTCACCCTGTAGCTGGTATGAATTACTTCATCAACACTTCTTAACATTAATTTCTGTCCTTTAATTATGCAAAAATATTTGACATATACATGTATTTTTATGCACCTGGTTGTCAGTCCACTAGCTGTTTGTGCTCTGTATCTTTTGAACTGACATGTTGATTTTAAAGATGATATATATTTTCTTTGATGTGCAAAAGTTCTATTTATAAAAAATAAAGAATGCCAAGAAAGGGAAATAATACACATACATACCTGTGTATAGTTCTTGATCTTTAAAGTTGTATTTGTATATAAAATATAATTGTTACATGTTAGGACGTATGCCTGGTCAACTGAATGTGTTATTGGCTGAAGCTGGTGTACCATATGATGTTGTACAGGAAATGGATGAACTAAATGATGACTTCCCAGAGACTGACCTTGTACTGGTTATTGGAGCAAATGACACTGTAAACTCTGCTGCTGAAGAAGATCCTAACTCTATCATTGCTGGTATGCCTGTCCTCCGAGTATGGCTGTCTAAACAGGTTTGTTATCAAACAATTAATACTACGTTTTTGTTCCATGTCACTGTCTAAATATTAATAATGGCAGATGTGGGTATGTGACTTGTTTGGGATGAAATTTTTTTTTTCATTACTGAATTATAAAAGGCACATTATTTCTAAGAAATGAATACATGTACATGTATTTCCTTCTTTGTGTAACAAGTGCAGAAATGTTCTTTATAATGTTGTAATAATAGATTATGTGATAATGGATTATGTTATAATTGATTTAAAACAAGTGAGATGTGTATCACCTGACAACAATAATGTTGAATTTGAAATATTTGTGATAAAAATAAAAGTGTTTTTTTGACTTCCATACAAAACACTTAATCACTATGAAAAAAATTGTTTTATAAAGGTTGTAGTCATGAAGAGGTCATTGGGTGTGGGTTATGCTGCCGTTGACAACCCTATCTTCTTCAAAGAGAACACAAACATGTTGCTAGGAGATGCCAAGAAGACATGTGACGCCCTCTATGCTAACGTGAGACAACACTATGGAGAGGAATAGATAAATAACAAAGTGTCTAATGTAAACATACATACAGAATTTATGTTATTGTGATGTTTTGCAACAAATAGATTGAATAAGAAAAACACACATTTTGTAATATACTTATTCAACAGTGTTTAAAGCTGAAAATACGGGGTTAAATTGCATTTATATGCCAGTAAAAACGATGGAAGCGTTACTCTATGAATTGACATTGTGATTTTTTGTGAACAAATAATAATGTGCTATTTCTGTTGAATTGAGAAGACATATTTTTTTATAAAGTATTTTCTCAGCATTTGAATTTGTTATTTTTGTCAGGCTAGAAGTGCTTTTTTAATATGATAGAATTATTGAAATTTTTATATAGAAAAACATAGCTTAAGTAAGAGGCAGTGCCTCTATAAGATTTTGGTAGATATAGATTTGCAGAATTATATTTTAGCTTTTGTACTAATAATATCCGAGAACTGGCATATTTTTACAACTCGCATTGAAACCTTAAATCCCAACATTGAATAACACCTGTCCTTCCATAACAACCCATTATGAGGGTATTGTCAAATTTAAGAAGTTATGTATCTTCCATGTCAGTTATATTTATTTCTCACTTTTCCTCTAAAATCGGGCAGAATAGGAGGAAAGTTAATTTACATCTTATTTAACAATGAATGCTTTTTTATTGAAAAGATATAATTCTTGTTTTGAGCTCCCTATTTAAAAAACAAAGAGCTTGATTTCTATATGCATTCCTCTTTTTATTAAAGAATAATTATGTGAAAATAAGGTTAATTTGATATCACCTCTATAATAAACACTGTGTTATATTGTTATGTTTTGCTGTGTGCTACATTATATTATGGATTTGGTAAATAGACCATGATTCAAAAGAAACTGGAATAAATACTGGTTAAAAACTTGTTTGGTTTTCTTCTCATTACTAGCAGCATTAAACCTTGCTTCAAGATGTCACTTGTGACAAGCTAATATAAGTTATGTGCTTGTCACTTATAAATATTATTCAAAAATAGGAGGCCTTCCAGATTCATGTAAATTCTTAAATTAATGTGGAGAAGTTTGTTGGGGTTCTTATACTCCCAGCCATAAATTAGGGAGGAGTATTGTGTTAGTATGATGTTTGAGAGAAAATGTATGCATAAAGTAAATACTTTGTGACCAAATACCAAAAAAAACAGTAATGAACATTACTGTATTGAACACAAAAGTCGCCTTCAATATGCTAAACAGGTCGTCATTATCACTAATGATCTTGAAAAACAACTATCCTGGAAATAATTTTAATGAGTTTTAAAATCTTACAGCATTCATATGCATTTACTCATTTCTATCCTTCATAAAATTCTTAGATGGCGTTGTCCATCTGTTTGTAGACAATATGAACTGAAGGCTATCCAGTATTAAATACCTTGTCCAGAATCTTTCCAAAACTTTCAAAATCTGACTAGTCAGAGGAACTGGTCTATAATTTGCAGCAGAGGTAAAAATTATACATAAAACTTCATTTTTTTATTACAAATTTATGATATGAATAAAGAAAATCATAATCTGACAAAACAAAGAAAAGTCAAAAATTTAAAAAAAGATATTGCATCCTCTGGAGTTTGAACCCATGCTCTATAGAAAATGTCACCTCACTAAAAATGAATAATCCTCAGAATTAGGCATTTAATACCTTAAAGGTACCGGTAATATTGCAATCTCCCAACCCTGAGGTATTTATCCCGATCAAACCGATTAATTAAAAATGTAAGGAAGTGCAATATCATAATGTTATACATGTTTAAAACATTCACTGACTCCTAAATAAAAGACTACATCTAATAAAACCGATCTAGGTATTTTACAGTTGGGGTAAAGTCTGGAATATAATTCCAAAAAGGCTTTGGATTATCATGAAGATTTTCAATTTGCTTTCCTTCACAATGTATCATAAGGAACAGTACTCAAATTCATGAACAAGAAATATCAGAAAAACTAGATTTCATGCAATCTTCCCATTTCTTCATTTAAGCCTTCACAATAGATTTTTATCTTGTCCAAGGCTGCCCATGAGGGCACATATTTATCTAATGAAGAAAGATAAGATTTGACTAAAATTTCCCAACAATTGTTCAAAAAAATTTACAGCCCTATTTGTCCATAATCTTCCTTGCTATACAAATGAGCTTTTATAAGGTGCTAAGTTTATACTGGAACATACGATACGTTATAGTACATCCCAGGTTTATATAGGGTACAAATGGTGGTACAACCGGTGGTAGGAGCTCCTACTCAGGTACGTATATTATTTTCTGACACCCAGTACAATACCAAAAGGCAATGAACTTCAGGACTTTGAAAATTTCGTCTTGAGAACGGGGCAGGGCCTCATCGTAGTTTTTGCTGGAGTTGTCTACCTTGAATCATGACGTCACGTATCTTACGAGTTGTTTACAAATGGCCGACATTTGACGGCAGGTGCGTCCATAATTGTATTTTATTTTACTGATTAAGTAATCGGTTTCCTCCTGTAAGTATCTACTTTAACACATAAATCATTTTTAGCTATATCATAGTTGTCGCAATACACGAATTTTAAGCAAACTGTCTTTAAAAGATAAAACTTTAATGATCTAGAAAAGAAAACACACACAATTTTAAACAACAACAACAAATCATTTTAGGATACATTTCGAGTTTAAAATTGCGTTCACTTGTAGAAAAAAAACTCATTTCACGGCATCAAGGAAAAAAATGCTTTTTCTTATAATTTGTGAAAAAGGTGCCATTTTTTCTTAATTTAACAACTGGATTTTTTCAAGATACTGATCAATAATGTTTAAAATTAAGAATGTGGCATTTTGCCAAGTAATTTTCTTTGTAGACCTATAATTGTACAAGGCTGTACTGTATTGTAGTATAAATATTTAAATGTTTAGTGTATGGTCTTTATAAATATTGATAGATCAGAGTGAAGGATTTCAATAACTAGTTTTTCCATGCAGTATCTTTTTTTTTTCTTATTACTACTGTATTGAATATAGTTATAATTTATTTAGATTTATTTAAAACTTGTCATATGCAGTGTTAATGGTGACAATATTTGTGAGATATAAGTCTTATTATTGTCTTTTATTTAGAGTTATTTTGCCCCTGAAAGGTAGTGGGGATGGAAATGATTCTGAGCTTGAAGTCAAGAAGTGAAGTCATTTAATTAAGCTTCATGTTGTGCTGATTTGGTTTATACAGAATTTATTTTTAGTTCAATTGTGTAGGAAGCTATTAGCTTATAGACACACTTTCAAATCCATTTCTGGAATCAACAAGTAATTAATGAGCAATGAATGTAAAGTTTCTTGACGGTGTTTGAACCCATGCGGCCAGTGATCATTATATTACTAGTCTGACGCGTAAATGACTCAGCCATGCCGCTACACCATGCTGATTTACTTTAGTGATCAGGGGAATTAACTATGGATTTGAACTTTTTACAGTAAAAACCCGCAAACCAGATCTCCACTTAACCAGAGTCCTCTGTAAAGTGGACATTTTCAGGGTTCGAATTTTTCCATTCTGTTTGCATTGTAATTTGTATGAAAATCCTTATAAAATCAGAGACTTGGTTATTCCATATATCAGACATAAATTTGGAAACAATTTTTCTTTTGTTTACAAAATTTTAACTTGAAGAACAGGACATATATTTCAAAGTATGTCAAATGAACGTGTCTTTGTTTTACAAGTATACAACACACAGGTCAGTCTGAGGTCACTTCTTTTGTTTGCAGTATTTGCAAACATACCTCATGATAGCTAGATTGCCCCTGTGAAAATGGAAGAATGTGTTTGATTTATGGTGGCAAAATCACTTGATAATGCTATTTTAGTGATTCAAATTCAGACTGCAAGACAATTATGTTTTGAAAAGGAGGAATAATTTGTTTGTTGCAAAGATAATGCACTTGTTTTGGGATTACATATTGATTTTATATTCAAGACATCTGACATAAATACAACTAACTTTAATTTTATTATATATAACAATCTTAGTATGTAAAAGATATAGACATTCATTTTCAGGATTTGCTAGAGAAAAGAAATAATAACTATGGCAACAGGTGGACATGGCAGGGAGAGAATGGGGCCAGAAGGAGACTCTGGTGAAGATAGTGACAATAAAAACACTGTCACCACAGTAAGAAGGTTTTTATATAGAAATCCCCCAGATTAGTATTTTAGAAAATATGTGTTAATTTCAAAAGGTTAAATAACCTTTCACCTTTTATTGAAACAAAGTATAGATCATACCTGGTCAGGGTATTGTTATACAAGGCCTTTTCCAGCTAATTTGGGAAAAGGTCCTTTACATAAATTGGGAAATAATTTTCTACTTTTTTGGAAATTGGAGAAGTTGAAAAATATACGATATGATTGTATATGGTAGATTTTTCAACTTCTCAAATTTCAAAAAAGTAGAATATTTTTTCCCAATCTATACCAGGGACTCTAGGTTTTTAACATGTATATGATCTTATAACCTATCCCTTTTAAAAAACAAGTCAAAACCGTTTAATTTTTCTCAAAAAGTAAAAAGTCGGTTTTATTTTTGGGCAACTGTTTGGATTTTTGGGGGAAATTGGAAAATAAAGAGGCTATTTTGGATTGGGAATAGGTCCTTATTTTGGTCCCTAGTGATAGGGTATCAAACTTTTTATTATGTAATAATTTAATAATTTACATGGTATTAATATGTAAAATATTTATCCAGGAAATTCATAACCTGGAATGACCCTTACCCTGCTAGAACTGATTTGCCTTAGCCACTAGTATAGAGTCTGACCAGTCTGCACATCCATGTAGTCTGACTATAGACTCTATACTGTTGACAGATAGGACATTTTTATCCTCATTTCCCTAGAATTGATAATGGACAGTTCTAAAATAGAAAATGGACATTAAAGTATTTCAGCAGGTTATTTAGGGCTAAGATAGAGAATAAAGTAATTATTGTATTTGTTCTAAAACTAAGTCTATAGGGAGTGAACTATAAACACCATTATACAATGCAGCTTTCATTGCAATTAATAAGTTTAAACAAGGTATTTATTATATTATTTAATCATATATCAGCGATATTGTACACTATAAATGAGAGTTTCAATTTTTTATTCATTTTCAGACTGTTAAAACAGAGACCACCACAGAAGAAGTCAATGTTACACAACAAGTGGAAGAAGAATATAAATATGGTATATAACTAATATAAATGACAAATTCAAAATACATTCTCAACATGTATATCAAAGTAATGGTGTTTTTTTTCTCTATCAATGCCGGTTTTTCATAACTTTGATGGAACAAGTGACTTATTGAGGTTTCTGGTTATTCTTACAATATGTTCTTTTATTATCCTAATTTTTGTGCCCCCACCATAGTGGCGGGCATTTAGATTTACCCTTGTCCGTCCGTCCGTCCTTCCGTCCGTCCGTCCGTTCACTTTTGTGTCGCAAGTAACTCAAAAAGTAATTGACCTAGAGTCATGAAACTTTACAGGAATGTTGATCAGCATGTGTAGTTGTGCACCTGGGTATTTTCGTCTGGATATTTTTAGTATTTTAAGAGTTATTGCCCTTGACTTAGTAAAATTTTGCAATTTTCAACTTGTGTCGCATGTAACTCAAAAAGTATTTGACCTAGAGTTTTGAAACCTTACAGGAATGTTGATCAGCATGTGTAGTTGTGCACCTGGGTATTTTCGTCTGGATATTATTAGTTTTTTCAGAGTTATTGCCCTTGACTTAGTAAAATTTTGCAATTTTCAACATGTGTCGCATGTAACTCAAAAAGTATTTGACCTAGAGTCATGAAACTTTACAGGAATGTTGATCAGCATGTGTTGTTATGCACCTGTGTATTTTCGTCTGGATATTTATAGTATTTTAAGAGTTATTGCCCTTGACTTAGTAAAATTTTACAATTTTCAACTTGTGTCGCATGTAACTCATAAAGTATTTGACCTAGAGTCATGAAACTTTACAGAAATGTTGATCAGCATGTGTTGTTATGCACCTGGGTATTTTCGTCTGCATATTTTTAGTATTTTAAGAGTTATTGCCCTTGACTTAGTAAAATTTTGCAATTTTCAACTTGTGTCGCATGTAACTCAAAAAGTATTTGACCTAGGGTCATGAAACTTTCCAGGAATGTTGATCAGCATGTGTAGTTGTGCACCTGGGTATTTTCGTCTAGGTATTTTTAGTATTTTCAGAGTTATTGCCCTTGACTTAGTAAAATTTTGCAATTTTCAACTTGTGTCGCATGTAACTCAAAAAGTATTTGACCTAGAGTCATGAAACTTTACAGGAATGTTGATCAACATGTGAAGTTGTGCACCTGGGTATTTTCGTCTGGAAATTTTTAGTATTTTCAGAGTTACTGCCCTTGATTTAGAAAATTTTTGCAATTTTCAACATGTGTCGCACGTAACGCAAAAAGTATTTGACCTAGAGTCATGTTACTTTACAGGAATATTGATCAGCATGTGCAGTTGTGCACCAGGTATTTTCGTCTGGATTTATTTAGTATTTTTAGAGTTATTGCCCTTCACTTAAAAATTTTTTGCAATTTTCAACTTGTGTCGCAAGTTACTCAAAAAGGATTTGACATAGTCATTAAACCTTATGGGCAGGTTGCTCAGCATATTAAGATTTGCACCTGGGGTTTCGCTTGTGGATTTATCCAGTATTTGTAGAGTTATTTCCCTTGACTTAGTAAAAAGATTGACAGAACAGTGGCGCGGTGGGGGCACCCGTGTCCTATGGACACATTTCTAGTTTTAATCTGAAAAATAGGGATGCTAAAAGTAATTGTCTAACTAATTTCCCAATAAATTCACAATTCATTATATTAAACTAAATAGAATAAAAGATTGTTATTGCTGTTATGTATGCAGTTATATTCATTATAAACATATAAAATGAGCTTTTAATGGGCTACAAAGCTTCTGCAGTGGTCAACATCATTTCTTTCTGTGTAAACATGTTACCATAATTATGTGATCTTTTATTCTTACAGTTTATATAATTATTATTGTCCATCACATTTAAAGAAAGATTTCATTTTGTATAAGAATATAAACCTGTAATGTATGTGTTTCAGAGCCACCAAAGTTTGATAATACGTTACCAGATTTGTATCGACTCCTTGAGACAATGGAGAAGGAAGAGGGTGACCTTGGCAACAAAAAGCAACCTCCATCACTGTTTACTAGACCAGAACATGTTGAAAAATACCAAAAAATCACCAGTATGCTAAATTATGTGTTATTTTGTTGGTTTTTGTTTTTTTAATTGAGAACATTGAAATGTTATTTATATTTATTTATAGTGTATTTAATGTTTCTTTTATATATAATAGAAAGTGAAGAGTTTCATTTAACTAACTGCAGACAGATTTCTTGCTTGGTTAGTGATAAAAAGTAAAAATTGTAAATAGTATATACATTATGCTGATTAATGGAAGATGTAAGTACATTGTTATTATTACATTAAAGCACAGGTAATGTTTGTTGAATTTATCTCTCTTTGATATTATCATAAGGTACCCCAATTATAAAAAATTTGATAACCTGAACATTTCTTTTTTTTTTCCTTTTTCAGAATTGAAGCTTGAAATGGAAGAATCAGAGATGAGTCCGTACCTTGATCATTTTGAGGCAGGAGTACGTGATGACCTGTTGATGATTGGCAATGTTTCATTAGAGGACGTACAGACTGAGGAGAAACAACTGAGAGATGAACATATACAATATCTTGAACAAGAGGTTTTTATCTTCAATATAAATACAATACTCAAACAAGAGATGCCTTTTTTTCAATATAAATTTCAATACCTGAAACTAGAAGTCTGTGCCTTCAATATAAGTAACTATATAACTAATGATATATATTTATAGGCTAACGAGGCCAGGAGTCGACATCAAGAGTTACTTAGACGTGAAGAAGATGCTAAGAAAAGGGTGGCTAAATACACTCAGGATAGGAGAGAAGATCTTCAGAGAAGGGAGGTAATAAACAACCTACTTATTATAGTATTAATATGTATGTGTCTGTACCAATTGTCATACCTTTTCCTTACCAAAGCTTGCATACAAATGATATCAGTCATTTTGTTAAGCTTAATATTACTCGAAAACTTTTGAAGATATTTACTTTTAACTTGGAATACTTGTTTCACTATTAAAATTGGGAGGCATTTCTTTTAGGCAAATAACCTTGAAAGGTCATTTTTATGCATCCGCAGGGTGGCATATTAAAATCGCAATGTCTGTCTGTGCTTCCCCACTTAACATTCGTGTCCAGAATGTAACTTAGTCATGCACTAAGTATTTAAAATAACTTGGCACAAATGTCTACCACATCATGATGATATGTCTCATCTAATACACATGTCCCTACTTTGAAGGTCACACTTGTAGTTTGAAGGTACTCATTCTCACAAGAAGAGTTTGAAGGTACACATTCTTGACTGGACTGTAACATTGTCATGCATTGAAGAATTTTAAAATAACTTGGCATCAAGACAGCATGTCACGTCTAAGGACTATGTGACTACATGTATCTAAAATGGGCAAGGTCACACTTACAGATTGAGGTTCACATAGGTTTTTAGACTGTAACTTTGTCATGCATTGAAGGATATTATAGAGTAACTTGGTACAAATGTTCTATACACAAAATTGTGTCGCATGCAAAAAGCTGTGTCTCTACCTTTATATATGCATGCATTTATGTGTAGACTTTTACCTTCTTTTGCAATTAACAGCTACCTTAAAGGTCACTTTTTTGAATATTCTCAAAAACCATCAGATATCTTCACTGTAACATGTTTACTATCAAAGGAAGATAATTCTGACATGCAGTTTTTCATATAATCAGTTCAATCAAAATAAACGCTTTTCTTAAGCTTTAGACGTTTAGTCTTCTTCAGAAAAAAATGACATTTTTTTTATTTATTTTTTTTTTTAAAGCAGTTTTTTCAGAAATATACTTTCATTCAAGTACTGATAAAAATGGAGCACACAACCCTTGCTTTACTGAAGAAATTATGATTAAATTAGAAACAATTCTAATTTTGTTTAGAAAAAGTCATGTGCTGGAGCCTTGTCCTACTTATGATAAAATAGAGGAAAAAACTACATGTACTATGTTCTTTCATATTCATGTGCTTTTATCAGGCAAGAAGATATGGTTCTGTGGTAAGATATTGGGCTACATATCTCAGATGACAAAAATCCTATACCTTACATCTTAACAGTACTAATAGTCTAAAATAAAGCCCCATTAACTATAAGATATTACCTTGCACTTGGAAAACATTTTAGAATCATAGGTTCTGAATAAGTGTGAGCCAGTGACTTGTTATATCATACTGAATAGATGTCATGCTAATGGTTTCAAAAAGTCATGTGATGTAAGAAAACCAGTTCAAGCACCTTGAATCAATGATCTCGAATCTGCACATTAGTATCTTGTTGAACATGTCACAAACCTTGGAAAATGGTGGCAATTTTTGCGAGGAAATTTGTAGGAATTAAAAACTAGATGTAAAATTCTTGACTTTGACAATAGTATCCTGAATGAGTATCATGAGATTTAATAAGTATTATTACAGTAAATGGTAGTATACATTTTCAAAAGAGTTCCAATGACATGTTATTAGAATGTGATAACTGCACAAGGAATCTTTGATTAAATTATTGTTCACATTTTAATTTGCTTATTTGATCACTGTTTTAGATATGATTTATTTGTGTTTCACGTCTATCCTTTTGATCAAAAATATTTTCTTGTAAGTCTTCAATTATTTGTAGGACAAAGCAAGTTACAGGTAAAGATACCATGAAAATATAAGAAATATTTATTGAGATATTCTATATATAAAGTTGTCTAATTCATACTGGTATATATTTTTAAGTATTATTGTATTTATTCTATAGAATGACATTATAACTAAGAATTTGCCATTTGAAAGGTAGGAGTATACTATTCTTGTAGTCATACCTGTGTTGTTATATTCAATATTTTATTGTAAATACAATTATAAAAATCATGTGTTTATATGAAATACAGCATTATGTAGAATGTCATGAAATATTTTGCTGATATTTTTTAGGAGATGATACGACAGAGGGAGAAGTTATTGATGGAAAGATTACATCAATCATTTCGCGCCGTGCTGAAAGTCAGCTTATCAGTGTACTTGAACGAAGGAAGGGTGAAGTTAAGGTAATAAATTTGTAGATAATTTAGTCTGCTGTAAAACAAACTTATTCCCAAAGTATTTTGGCAAAGAGAGATAATATAAAAATATTTGACTTTATGAAGAAAAGTAGGGGTGTCCTACTTACCAAGGCATCATCATTGGCATCTGTGTAACACTTTGTTAAAATATTTGCATTCAGCATCATCAACCAATAATGATATTTGTTTGTATGTTTGAAATAAGTGTGTTATTCACACACTTATTTCAGAGCATAATAGTAGGTAACTATCCAAGGTCCATAACTCTAGCAGGGATAATGACAGAATTATGGTGCTTCTTTGATCTTAGAAAAATTTTTGGTTAATGTTTTGCATGCAACATAAATCTCTAAAATTACTGAAGACTTTAGGTCACCTTTCAAAGGTCATAACTCTAGCATGGATATTGACTAAAAGCCCTTTTTGAACTTAAAAAAATCATTGATAAGGTTTTGCATGCAACATTAATCTTAAAAAATACTTAAGCTATCACTTGAAACACAATACATGTCATCAGGATCATAACCAGAGTTAGAAAAGTTATGATTCATATTTTGCTTGCATCATTTATCTTTAAAAGCAATTACCAATTGTATTCACTTGAAACTTGATTCATGCTTTTTGAATTACAAATCAAGGTCAATTTTCAAGACACATAACTCTGGCTTGGACTTTGATTGAAATAAGGCCATTGTGACCATAACAGATTCTTTTGTCAATATCCATAACTATCTCATGTATGTTATTTGTATTTTTATGCCCCCTTCGAAGAAGAGGGGGTATATTGTTTTGCTAATGTCGGTCTGTCTGTCGGTCCGTCGGTAGACCACATGGTTTCCGCTGATAATCTTGAAAAGTATTTATCAACAAAGTCTTCATATTTCACATAGTGATTGGTCATAACTAGTAGATGACCCCTATTGATTTTGGGGTCACTAGGTCAAAGGTCAAGGTCACAGGGACCTTAAATGTCAAATTGGTTTCCGCTGATTATCTTGAAAAGTATGTATCACAAAGTCTTCATATTTCATTATGTTAATAACTTAAGTATTTGCTTTTGCTTGAAAAAAAAATATAAGTAACAATCAAACTTTTAATATTTTTTCAGTCATTTTTTGGTGACTTGATGATGACTGAAGTGCAGTATGGTGGGACAAGAGGTCGAAGGTGGAAAGTAGACTGGAACTTGACACCACAGCCTGTTCAAGTAAAGTTGAAATGTTTACGTGGTGTGAAAGATAAACTTCCTAGTAAGTCTTCCTCTTCATGTTTATGTGTTTTTTATGCCTTTATATGCCCCACTTTAGGAGGGCATTAGATTTTGCCCTTGTCTCTCTATCCACACTTTTACAGGTGATCAGTATGTGAAGTTGCACATTTTGCTTTCTCTTGTGGATTAATTCAATTTTGTTAGTTATTGCCCTTGACAGTAAAAAATTCATAATTTTGTGTTGTGCGTAGCTTAAGTATTTGACCTAGAGTCATGAAACTTTACAGGAATGTTTTGTCAGCATGTTGTAATTTTGCACCTGGGGGTTTTGCTTGTGGATTTATTATTTGTAGAGCTTTTGTCCTTGACTATGTAAATAATTGCAATTTTCAACTTGAGTTTTAGGTAGCTCAAGAAAATAATTGACCTGGAGTCATGAAACTTTACAGAAATGTTCCTCAGCATGTGTATATTTATTCTGTATTTGTAGAGTAATTGCCCTTAACTTAGTTAAAACCATTTACATAATTGTTGTGTCATTTGTACCTCTATAAGTGCTTGAGCTAGGATCAACAAATTTTATAGGAACACTGATTAGCATGTGAAGTTTTACCCCTGTTGTTTTCGCATGTGGAAAAATTCAGTTTTGTTAGAGTTATATCTGTGTCCTATGGACACATTTCTAATTACTCATGTATTGCATTACGTATATGTAATTTATATGTCCTTCATACTAATTTAAAAACTTGTGTATCTTAACTTCTTTTGAACCAATTATAATTAGCAGTGGGCTTTTGTCCTTTATGCCAAATTGAAGCATTGGTCTATTTTCCAGTGTCCTGTAAGCTGCTGTCCCAGGGGGGCTATTGTCCTAGTGGGTTATTGTCCTAGTGATCTATTGACCCAGTGAGCTATTGCCTATTTCCCATGTTTTAACTAGTCAGACAATGTATAAATTGGCTAATGTCTTCATGAGGGTCAGAGGATGTGTCATAAATGTCACATGACATTGGCATCCTTGTCCCATTTCTAGTTATTTTTGGGATATTAAGATAATACATTAATTTCATAAATAATACAATAAACAGACAATCCACACAAACACGAACATTCAGTAATTATTTTTTTATTGCATAAAATAATACAGAAATTCTAATGTATATTATACACAACAACAAAAATGGAAGTAGTAATAGACCTAGGAAGATAAAATGTCTACTATTTTCAGGGGGACGTTATGTAATGATGGTATCACTATATGACAGACTTGGAGGGAATATCCTCCGCTGGAGTGAGATGAAGGGACAGCATTGGGGAGCGGCCACAGCTCCTGTACATCATGAAGGAGGATTTCACAATGTGGAACTGAAGGTTGGTACTTGTTAGAAGTTTGTTTCAATTATAGGATAAAATTGTTCAGTTTAAATTTATTTGTCAGCATATTTTTCAAAAAGGTAAAGTGGTTGATGAGGATATGAATCACTTTTAGTGAAGATTTAGTAAAGTTAATTTTTTCTAGAACACAGATATTAAAAGATTGCTCTCAGTCAGTAATAAGTCGTCACCTTGGCGCAAAAAGTACTGTAACTGACATTTTTGAAATTTTACAGGAGACACAAAAAACTGATTTGTTCATTTTGAGTAAACCCTTTTAATTCCAGACAATAATGTTAAAATATCATTAATAAGTATTATTAAATTGGTTTTAAACATTACAATTATTCATTTATGGATAAAAAGTAATTAGACATTCTTCTTACACTTACATGACTTTTTGCACTGAGATTTTAACGCAAAAAGTGATGTAAGTGCACTTACCATAGTTTTTGCACTAACTTAATTTTAAGTATTGAAGTTACTGCATTGCATAGACATTGAAAGATGTTTATTACAAACAAATTAATTGTAAGGTTTGTTTAAAATAGGTCATTGTGGATTATGAACCACATTTAATACATTAAACATATGAAAGGAAGTTTAAAAACTGAAATATTTCAACATTAATTTTAAACAGTAACAGTAAATCCAAAGCAGTGTATTTTTTTTAATTTTAAAGTAAATGTAAGCATTAATCACAACAAAATTACATGAAAACTGCAGACTCACTTGATAAAGTCTGTACAATTGAGCAATAATGAAAAGTGCAACATCCCTCACGCCCCTAGCACTGACTTAAGCTTAGTCAATTTTCAACGCTTAAAAGTGCTTACAGAGGACAGAAAAAACATAACAACAATGAAGTGAATTACGTGACAACTTATAAATCATGTTTTTTACTGTTGCCATTTTTCTAATGGTACAGTTTATTTATGTATTTGTTATAAAAAGGGGGGCATTTGGAGATGTATATATCATAATACCTATGTCTCAATAATATCCAACCATCACAGGGACATAGACTTTGAGATTTTGGATAAAACCACCAGGAATCCTGAACTTTTCTGAACATTTTGGTTGGACGTAAGTCTCGATTTTAGATGAACCTGCTAAGAATCCTAAACTTTTCTTGTCCAACATATCCCAGTGAGATCCTTTTATATTATATCCCATGAACAGACTTCAATTTTTATAAATAATTTTGTTTTCATTGCTTCTTCTTTTCAAATTTTGATATATTGAATTCAAATTGTCTTATTTCCTGCCACCAAACTTTAAACATTATACGCCATATCACTATCATGGTTTAATAGCTTTGATTTTATATAAAAATTCAGATTATTTTCTGTGACATAATGTGGTTTGGGTCTTTGAAAATTGTGATTTTTCTGTTAATTAAAGTGTTTAACATGCACGACATAGAGAATGAACTGAGTCATTCCAATTTTTGATAATAGACACCATTCTATATGTATGAATGCATGGGAGTTGTAGATGCACCACATTAGACTTAACATACTAGCAATTATGGTTTTGACCAATATATTATTGAAACAGATTACATGTCTTTGTCTGCCATGTTT